AAGCATGGGCACGCGTACATCCCCCCACTCCCCCCCTTCACCCCCTTCCCCCCACCAAACCACACTGGACTCCTCAGTGGCACGAACATCGATGTAAGGAGAAGTAACTGGATGTGACTGAGATCCTGGAAGCACGTGTGAAGCAACTCAGCTTGATGTCATCGCGTTAAGTGGACGGCAGATTTCAGCGTAGCATTTGTTCGACTCATTTCCCCAGAAGTCCTTGTGGGACATACACGTTACTCTCAATCCAGGAGCAAGACACAGATCCCCTTGAACGGCCGGTTAATGCTTCGCTTAGCAAGCAGGCCGCAGCGATATGCAGGCCTGTAGCATCAGTAGCAAACATATGCAGTATTGGCAGCTGGCGCTCCATGTTCCTTCCTTTTTATTTGTATGGGGCGCTGGCGTCTTTCGCTATTTTGTGGTCCCTCCTCGATCTAGCTACTTGCTGGTGGATTATGAAGCGGATGTAACGCGGTAGGTGTGAAGCCCATCATATGTATTCGTGCTTGCGGGCAGGCTGGCTATTGATGGCCAAGTAAAAGCTGACCAATGTCCACCCAGGGCTATCGCCCACAGTGCTTAGGGACAGTAGGGAACGGAAGGAAACGCCAGATGCTTTTCTGGTGATGCCATTAGTCTAAGCATTCCGTTCCACTTTACCTCAGGAGGGTTCGTGCGTAAGATCGACTAGGATCATTAAATTGTAACTACCTTAGCGTTTTCCGTCGGGTTTCTGCCAATCGCTGGGGTTGCCTGATACGGAGATTTTTTTGCACTAAAGGCTGCGTTAAATGAGTCATTTATTCAATATTCCATTCATTTGCGTTGGACTGTAGGCGCCTCATCTTCAGTTAGAGATTTTCTATGCCTTGCCTATTGCGAGGCTGGGCATCTGCAACGAGTGCGGAAACTTAAGAAAAGTATATATAATTGTAAGGAGCAGGCAGATCCGAAGGTCACACCTGAATGAATGAAGGCCCAATTGTTCAAAAACAACGTACTCAAAAGGTTGAGCTTCGACATCCGAGATCACCGGCAAAGGATTGTACGAGCCGAAAGACCTCACCCACAAAGTTCAATCGTAGATATGTACTTGACTGGTGCAAGGGTTGCAAGCCTATTGCCCGTTGGATCCGTAAAGTATTGGCTTTTTGTTTTTTATCGTGCAGTGATGTATGCTTCAAGTATGGCAAATGTTGCATTTCACTAGCGTTCCATCCGTTTTTCTGCTCGCCATCCCCCGGTACGCCATGTCGCCCGGTAACCGCTCGCGTCATAAACACTAAAAACTGGCTATGTTAGACATATTTTCCATGATATTTTTATATACTTTCTAATTTCATCTAGTTCCGTTGTTAAAAGCTACTAACATGCTTTGTTGTGCAAGGAACTCTGTGCAGTCGACTCGCTCCATCGACGTTCGGTTCACACGTTGAAACCGCCCGATGCCTTTCTTCTTCGTGCTTCCTTCTCAGCACTCCCAAACAATTCACAAGGGTGTGCAATTGTACAATGAAAAACGTTGAATATTTGGGAAGGTTTCCTAATGGGACACTGCAGAAATTTGCAGGATGCCCTTGACGGACCGCGCCGTCCGGTGAGTTGGAGGGAATTGCTCGGAAGAAGCTGAAGTTCACTCTCGGCATCCAACCAAAACTTTCTTCAATAAATGAAAGTAAATAAGTCCTTGTTTTAGTTTCTCTTGGTTCTAACGGTGAAATGAAGGATACCTGCCATGTGGGGGGGATGCTTCTCACGGGCAGGCCTCCAGCGATCCGTCTCGCCGCCGCAATCAGCGCGCTGACAGAGACCGCCGACGGGTGGATCCCTTTTCTTCCGTCAAAACTATCTTCAAATACATGTTTCTGGATGTCTTTTAGAGACGCCCATACCGGTTAGACTTCTGCATCGCCAACTGCCACGGGTTTTGCCCCCTCTGCAGTTTGTTGCGGAAGGCAGGGCCGGTCAGTCAGTCAGGCGCTTGACAAGGGCGGCCGCATTGCAGAGTTCAGAGCGCTGTCCGCGTTCACCTTCTCGAGGTAGGTTTTTTATCTTTAATCACAAGGCCTTATACCTCGAAGATGTGGGGCCAAGGTGCTATTGCAGCAGCACTGCTCCTGTGCGGCATCACGTTTTCGGCGGCGGACCAGCCGGCGGAGCTCAGCAACGTGACCGTTTCAGTTGGCGAACCTGCAGTGTCCGAGTCATCAAAAGGTGAAGACATTGAAAAAGGAAATGTATACACCCCAGAAGCTCTTCTTGCTGAGCTCGCCAGCGCTGCCAATATTGCAATCGACGGTGGTGCGCCGCACGGTGGGGTGTCCTTGGAGCTCTCAGCGGCACACAACACGGAAACAGGAGAAGATTCTACAGGAGCCACGCCAGGTGATGCAGTTGCATCTAACTCCACCGCTTCATCCAACCATGTCCGAGGCCGCAAGATGTTGGCATTCGGCGTACTGCTGCTGTTGGTCGGTGTCACGATGTCAACGGCAGGGCGCCAACCCCAAGCTCCCCAAGCTCGCGTTCAGCCTTCGTCAGTGGAGGCCACTGTGCGTTCCGCTTTGGAGATGATGGACAAACTTGGAATCAAGTCCGCTTCGAAGGTGGCTGTAGGCTGCATCATTGCTGGGTTCTTGGAGTTGATTCGCAGTCTCAACGCCAGACAGAATTCTGCCACTCAATCAGGACAGACAGTGCAGCCCACCCTAAAAGGCCGGACGGTGCTGATCCTGGGTGTCGTTGCCCTTTTGGCCTCCATCCCGTTAGCAGGAGTCGATTTCTCAAATCTCAATGTGAACGAATTGCTTAAAGTGCTCTACGAGTACCTCTCCAAGTCGCACTTTGGCCTCTTCCTTGCAGGAGGTGCAGCCTTTCTCAAGAGCGTCTATGACTTGATGGAAAATCAAAAACACCTGCTGGAGCAGCAACAAAGCGGAGGGGAGCTCAAGGAGGAAACAGGTGAAACGCCAGACAGCGAAAATCAGCCTGAGACTGCAGATGATGCTGCAGACCTTGCAGAGAACTGCGGGGAGGTAAGCGGTGCACATCCCTCTGAAGAAGGGTCTGCTGACATCAGCCCATCTTTGGCTGCCCCTTCTGAAGAGCCTTCCCCACCAGAACTCCCCTCCCAACCGGCACACGAAGAAACAGGAGGAGAAACACAACCAGCAGCACCCGTAGAAACAACTGACGCGGAAGACAAGGCTCCTGAAGCAGATGCTCCTCCCAAGATGGAAGACTCTTCCTCACCAACGGTGGAAGAAACAACAGGAGAAACACAAGCAGGAGCACCCGAAGAAACAACTGCCGCGGATGACAAGGCTCCTGAAGCAGATGCTCCTCCCAAGATGGAAGACTCTTCCTCACCAACGGTGGAAGAAACAACAGGAGAAACACAAGCAGGAGCACCCGAAGAAACAACTGCCGCCGAAGAAAAGGCTCCTGAAGCAGAGACTCCTCCAACGGCGGAAGACTCCTCCTCACCAATGCTGGAGGAAACAGCAGGAGAAACACAACCAGGAACACTCGAAGGAACTGCTGAAGCCGTAGAAGAGGCCCCTGGTGCAGGCACTGGAGCAGAGAGTACTGCAGAGGACGCATCTGCCCCCCAAGAGGCCACGGAGCAGCCAGTAGAAGAACAAGCGGAGCCGGACCAGGAGCCGGCATCGGGAGAACCAGCAGACGGGGCTGCCTCCCCTTCTGAGGCTGACAACACAGTTGCTGCAGAAAGCATGCCAGATTCTCCGGAAGCACATGAAAATGCACAGTAGCAGCCGGGATCCCAAGAGCACTTGGAATGGGAAGTTTCAAGTGTTGAAGCTGTTTAATAGGTTGAACGGCATTCTCGAAATGAGCACCGGAAGACACCTGCTGCTGGCGCTGGGTGTGGAAGCCACCATCTTGCCTCCATACATCTTCGCCCGGTCGATTAATGTCTATGCACACCTGTTCATGTTAATCGATATATGCTTGTGTGTTCCGTGGGCGAACAACACTGTGTGCTACCTGTGTAAGCTTAAGTCTCTCTGGCTGCAGGGCCTGGGACACCTGAGCATCACTACGTCGCATTGCATTTGCATGAAAATGCGACATCCAAGAGGAGATTTAGTAAACGTGGAAGTGCCAGTGTGCAAATGGTTTCAACTGAGATAAGCAGAAGAATAGTTTCACAAGCGTCAATAGCGGAAAAGGGTTTTTCCGTGTGTTGAACTGCTTCGTCAACATGCAGGCAGCGCCAGTGGTGGCAACGCTCAGCTTCACCGCCTTGTGGCACATTTTGTCTGAAACACCTAACTAAATAACATTTTGTATAGAGACACATTTGATCCTGTGTTCCTGCTTACCTTGCGCAGCATTCCAGCTGCATCCACAGCAGAAGCAAGCCTTTCCCGTTAGGAGGAGAAACGCTTTAATATTTCGTCTATCGAGTGAAGAAACAATTAGAAGCCGAATGCACCCCACCAGTCAGCAGAAACCTAGGGAAAGAAGGCTGTTGTAGATGTCCAAGCGTTGCCCCGCTGAGGGCGTATCAACCGCTTCTCAGATGGGAGAGAACAGGCTATTCTGCATTGAAAGGCTATTTCTCAGAAGAATGCACGAACTATGGAGCCTCTCAGACTCCCCCTGCTTTCGATGCAGGCTTCTGTCCTCCAACCAGCACACGTTGCACAGTTGAGACTCTCCAACGATTTCCACTCTACTGAGGGCGGCCTACGTGCTATTCCAATCAGTCTGACAGAAGTTTTGTCCAAGAAGCGCAAAGTAGAAGTACGAAGGAAGGCACTGGCTGCGTCGAAAGCCCGCTCCAAGCTTTCTTCAATGCCAGTGCGGCTAATGCTGTAGCTGTTGCACACAGCCCATGGAAGCATGTAGACAAGATATGCCAAACGAAAAAAGAAGTGCGAGAATTTGGCTAGACAGAGTGTTCAATTGTAGTCACTCGATGGGGCACATGCATGTACCCGCTAGGTTTACCCCGAATAAGACTGGCAGCCAACTTTGAATTCAGCCCATTCCTGCCGAATTGTTCTGGATTATTGTGGGAAATGTTGTGCTTGCATAGAGGTTTGCTTGCTTTCTAAGCGCTAGTTTGGTTTCAACCACCTCTACACCCCCCCTGTTTGTCCCCACATACAACCGAGCGAAGACGAACTTCGTACAGCTGGCCCCATGACTGACTGCGATATCGGCAGGTTGTAACAGACCTTCCGCTACGCTTACTTACAGTAGTGTTCAAGGCAGGCAAGAGGGTGATGACAACTGCAGAGGAGCAAAGAAGACAAGGGCGAGCAGAACAAAACAATGCAGGGTATAATCGGCTGTGTCACTGGCTCCGGCATGGCCAATGCAACCGTTTAAAGGGTACAAACATGTGTGAAGTGGAGTAGAAACATTGGTATAGTGTTTTTTCCCCTGAAAGCCTCCATAGCTGAAGCATGTCGAACTGCGCATTATTGCATGTTCTCTGGGGGTCTCGATTTCGGCTGGGCAGCCGGCTACAGAAACCCGCTGGAAAGGTCAGAGACCGTTTTGTTCTTTATTTAGAGAAAACAGCATTAACCAATCGACATTTCTTCTCCAAAACGATATGGCAATACTGGACTTTCCTCATTGCACACCGCGAGTCACCCGCCTCGTGCACAAGTTCCAGTGAGCGCTGAGCCGCCGCTTGGGTGTTCAGAGTGCTTTATCCTCCCTTGCAAACTATTAATTGGATAATTTGAAATTCAAATTCAATAGAAGTTTTTCGAATCACACTTTTTGCGACCACGTTCCGTCTCCATGAGCGGCTCGGCCCGTAACACCTGGACGTTCGGCGCGCTGTCAAGAGGAGCAGCCCAGATTGCTGCACCAGTAGGGAGGAGGAAGCTTCTTCTACTTCACCACTAGAATGACGACTCTGCGTCGAGCACTTATCACTGGTATTACTGGACAAGATGGCTCGTAAGTCTGCAGCCGACTCTCGCCTGCGCCCCCTAAGGAGACCACTACCAACTATGAGATGCGAACTCACCCTCATTCACGCCCATGTCTACGCAGGTTGTTTCTTTTTACATGCTGTGCAGTGGGGAACATATTGGTTTGGGTGGAGCCCCCGGGCTTAATGATTCTCCAGCTGCGGCGTCGGTGCCCGCGCTGTTCGCAGGTATCTTGCAGAGTTCCTGCTGCAAAAGGGGTATGAAGTGCACGGCGTCGTTCGCCACAGCAGCACCACAAACACCGAAAGGCTCCTGTCGATAGTCGACCGTACGTTATCCCCTTCGAAAGGACGCAGGCTCCCAGGAAGCTTCTTGCTTCCTCCGGCTTGCTGCTTTTAACCTGCCGTCACAGTAGGTACTCGATTGTGTGTTCGTAAATAAAAGATATTCAAGTTTGTATGCATATGGTATGTTTACATAGCTAAACGCAGAGGCTTCAACACCTTCACTTTTGTAGTCTTCGTATTTGTGTGTGTTTAGGGTTACATCTACACTGTGGTGACGTCGTGGATTCGACTTCCCTCTTTGACATAATTTCCCGAGTGCGCCCCCACGAGGTGTACAATCTAGCTGCCCAAGTAGGTTTTGCTACAACTGACCTACTGCTGAACTGCTGCTGCCAGTTGGGTGAGCTGTAGCTAACTTAGCTCTCTCAGAGCACTGCGTTTCGAAGTAGGACGGTGGAATGTGCGGTTACAGGGTCTGCTGTATTTGTATTATTCGCAGAGTCACGTGAAGGTCTCATTTGACATGCCTATACAAACCACCGAATCAACCGCCGTCGGAGTGCTGCGTGTGCTCGATGCCATTCGGGCTGCAGGCCTTGCCAATGAGACGCGGGTGTGAGCAGCAGCTGTTTGCATGCACATATTTAGGGCTTGGAGTGTCTGTAACGGGGGACTCCATTAATGAGCAGTTGCGTTGCTACTTGCAGCTGCAGGCAGCGAAGAAGGCTGCTGGGGTTTTGTCTCAACTGCCTTTTATCCAACTCCTGAGTACCTCAGTGTTGTCCCTTCCTTCTGAAGCATATTTCTTGTCAACCAAGAAAATTTTAGTCTTCTGTTGCATTTAGGAGGCCTCTGTTGCTGCGTTTCAGGTTTCAAGCCTCGTCGTCGGAGATGTTTGGGTCTAGCTCGGTTGACCTACAGAACGAAGAGACTCCTTTTAAGCCTTGTTCTCCTTATGGTAATAACCAGTATCACTCCAACTCCCCTGGTATCTTTAGGTCTGGCATTGCCTGCTTTTGTTGCCTCGTTGCTTGCTGAGGCAGTTTGTAGTAGCGCCATGCATGCGGGGTCACGTGCTGGTGCTGGTGCTGCTGCAGGTGTCTCCAAGCTGTATGGGCACTTCACGGTGCAGACATACCGTTCGGCCTATGGAATTTTCTGCGTTAGCGGCATTCTCTTCAACCACGAGAGCCCCAGGAGAGGCACCACGTTTGTCTCGAGAAAAATTACAATGGGAATTGCAAGCATTTTGAAGGTGAGCTTATCAACTTCTTATTTGTTCAAGTCCTGCTCTTGTGTTTTTGCGGGGACCTACCTTCGCTTTTTGCTGGCTGAGGTCGGAGTTGCTGGGTTCCAGTTCCGCCTCGCTCTCCCACACAGTATCTGCATATGGTGTCCCCACGGACACCGCGTGAGCAGAGAGGGGAACAAGGGAACACTTGAGAAAGCGTGGTGCAATTCATTTTTTGTACTGCTACAGGGAGAACGCCTTTGTCTCGAACTTGGCAACTTAGACGCCCGCAGGGACTGGGGCCATTCGCGTGACTACGTGAAGAGCATGTGGCTCATGCTGCAGCAGAAGGTCCCCAAAGATTACGTAGTGGCTACTGGTAAGCGTTACAGCACCACCCTGCACCCTTTAGGGTAGTTTGTATTTTACAGCAACGTGCATGAGACACAAGTCACGAGCAGTCTGAGGCCTTTCCTTTTTTTTGCCTGCAGGCAAACAACATTCCGTCCGGGAATTCTGTCAATTGGCGTTCGCCATCGCAAACCTCCCTCTTCAGTGAGCGAAACAAACTATCATCTGAGCCGGTGCACCTTTAGGCATATGCTCACCAGCTGGCGTTGCAGGCGGGAGATATCTGCTCAGGATTCCCCATTGAGCTCGAGTACATTAGACAGTATGGATTGTGAATTTGAGCATTTGAAATGACGCATATATTGGAATGAGTATTTGAAATGATGTTGGCGCTGTTGCGATTGAACAAAGGGTTGTTAAACCGGCTCGTTCTATGGCTGAGTCGTGTGTAGGTGGGTTTGGAGTCGTTGAACAGCTGTTATTTATTGGGGACGTCTGTGTACTGACCGAATTCAGGCAGGCTGCAACATCTGGAGTATATTGTGCGGTATCTGCGCAGGTGGAAGGGGAAGGGTCTGCAGGAAGTAGGGAGCTGCGGAGGTCGGATCCTAGTGCGGGTCTCTTCTGCTCACTTCCGTCCTACTGAAGTTGACGCTCTAAAAGGAGATGCCTCACGCATCCGATCGGAGCTAAACTGGCGTCCGGAAACCACCTTTACTGTGCGCTTTGCACCTTCAACAAACAGCAGCACCACCAACTTCAGCGGCGGTACAGTAGTAATAGCAGTAACAACCCCAACAGCAGTAGAAAGGGGAGACATTGCCAAAGGTGGCTTCACGTTGCCTACGATTGTCCCCTGCAGTGGTGGCCTTTGCGTGTTTCGATTTCTCAGTGTCTGCTGTTTAATTGCTGCTAGTCATTGATGGTTGCTGCTGATTCATTGCTGTTGCTGCATAATTGGTTGTGCTGTGCCGGTGCGTGTCTCAGGAGCTGGTGTTTGAGATGCTGCAATGCGACATGCGTCTTGCGGGTTTGCATCCCCCAACGTTATCGGAGTGCAACCAGCGCATAGCCAATCACATAGGAGACGCTGCAGAGCTGCTGTTTGACTAGATGCAGGGCTGTTGATGCTGCAGCACACCAGATGCTGGGCAGCTACCACCAGCCCAGCAGGTTTTGTAGAGTGGTAGTGCGCATACTGGCGCACACACAAAAGACTAAGACAACGTGCGCTCAGCGTAGCCGCATGTTCTTAGGTAGCATAACGTTAAAAAATAGCAACAACATGTCGGGAACAAGAATGCCGCACCTTTGTGCTTCAGACCTGTTTTAGACACACAACGGTTTCTTCACCGAAACAGCCAATGAAGTCTTCGCGACTTATAGTTGCTGAGACAAGACCTCGTGCAGTCTTGTATTTCGAGCCATCGCAGTCTAGCATATAGACGGAAAGCAGCCAAGAAGAGGGGCTTGTTCTACTCATTTAATCATCGTCAGCAGCAGCGAAGTCGACTGCATAGCAGCAGCAGCAGCTGCTGTTCAGCAGCAGCCGATGCTGCAAAACGGCCATTCAAAACGCTACATCTCCCAGGGTTTATGCAATTGCTGCTCATCATGAATCCCTCTGTATCAAGTGGACTTGCTGCTGCTTCTGCAGCAGTACATTCCTACACTACTGTTGCCCTTCGTACACAGGACCTGCAGCAGCAGCAGCCACATCCTGTGCCTGCTGCTGCAGCGGTCGTATGGCGCACAGGCATCAGCAATACTGCTTTTATGCTGTGGCAGTTCAGTGGTCCGGCAGCGGCTGCACTGCATTGCCTGCTTGTTGTTGCTGGACTCTCTGCTTCTCCTTTAGACGCTGTAGCAGGTCTGCTAAGAGCTGCTGCAGAGCCAGCACGCGCTTCTGCTGCAAGGGGCACACAGCATCCGCAGTATAACGGTACACATTTGCCAGCAGCCATACTTAAGGAAGCCCACACGCACACGTCGGTTTCTCATAAAAGATACAGGTGCTTGTGCTTCTGCATGTACTGCTGCTGGCTTTTGTGTTGCACCGGCCACCCACCGCTTCTTGAACATTCTGTTGCCGTGCTACCCTCGGCACTGCTGCCTGGTTGCTGGTGCACGAGGCGAGCTGCTGCCGAAGTGCGCAGTTTTCCTGAAGAAGCTGCTGCTGCTGCTGCAGCGCGGAATTTGCCTGCTGCAGCAGCTGGATGTACATGTCTGGACGGGGCGACCACGCGGGAGCTGCAACGACTTGCTGCTGCTCCAACTGCCGCATTGCATTCGTGGGCACAATGGTTTCCTCTAGCCACGGCTTCTGCACACGAAGAGGTGCAGAAGCAGCAAAAGCTGCTTGGTTTTGCAACGCCTGCTGCTGCTGCAGCTGAACCTGCTGTTGCAACGCCTGCTGCTGTTGCTGAGCTGGTGCTTGCTGTTGAAACTGTTGTAACTGCTGTTGCGCCTGGAGCAGCTGCTGCTGCAGCAGCTGAGCTGTCTCCTTTAGTCGTCTCTTCTTATCCTGCTGATGCTGCAGCCGCTTTAGCAACGACGCGTAGTGGAAAAAGAGGAAAGTTGGGTCTGTTTGCTGCATGCACACAAACTCGAAGGACACCCGGGAAACTTATGGTTAACCTGTCAATGCCCCTACAGTTGCCGACACTGCTGCTTGACTCTTTTCCAGCAACTCAAGTGTACAAACAGCACCTTGGCCCGCCGGAGAAGGGTAGCTCCATCAATGTAGGCATTGGTCGCTGCGGCCTCTCTCCGCTGCTCCAGAAGCGGGTCCCCTTGCAGCTGTTGCAACTGCTGCTGCTGGTGGGCGCCGGACAGCAGCAACCAGGCGCCGATGCTGTCCGATCGACGCGCATGGCAGTTCACCCGCTGCAGCGCTGCCTCAAAGTCCTTGAAGCCAACCCTCTGACTCCCGTGGAATGCAGCAGGAAAGACAAGAGAAACAAGAGCCCTGAGCTGCTGTTCCTGCTGCTGCTCCTGGTGCTCCTGGTCCTGCTGCTGATTCTGCGCCTGCAGCAGATATTCTGAAAAGGTTAGCTCGCATAGCTGCCAGAAGGCAAAGAGAGTGCCTAAGGCACAGTTCTCTCGATGAAGCAAAGGGAACAGGGGACCTTCAATCGGCAGCAGTGGCTTGCTGCTGCCTGATCTGCCTTTACTGCTGCTCGTCGCTGCATTGTTGCTGTCACTCCTGCTCCTGCTTGTGCTGGTCAGGGCTTTGCCGGACGAGGAGTTGCCACTGAGAGGTCTGAGCCTTGCTTGATAGTAGGCGCGCTGCGCTGCGACCTGCTGCTCCAGCGACTTTATCCGGCCCTGTGGCAAAACCACCGACACACGTGCTGCTACTGCTACTGCTGCTGCTTCTGCAGTGCCTGCTTGTTCTGTGCATCTAGTGCTGCCTGGTGCTGCTGCTCCGCTGCAGCTAACGGGGAATTTTTGCCTGTGTGTACCTGCAACAGCCGTTCCTTTGTTGCTGCAGTGCAGGACAGCTGCTTCAGCCTCTGCAACAACTCCTCCCTGTCATCCCGCTCCTCTGAGACCTCGGCGTCCGCTGTTGCTGCCTGCTCTGGTGCTGCTGCTGAGATTGCCTCCCGCAACCGCGGCAGGCCGTCATGTTGCTGCAGTGCGGAGGACCTGCTGCTGCTGGTGCTCATGTCTCCGTCGCCGCCCTCAGTCTCCGCAGCGCCTCGCCCCATAGACTGCAGCAGCCTGAAACACAGAAATGGCCCAACTAGCAGCATGTAAGTCCAAAGCAGCAGAAACAGCAGTGGAAACTAGCGGAACGACCCACTGGGGCGCCCCACTGGCACTGCATCTAAGAATCCTGAACGAAAACTCTGGACCCTAAACCCTAGACGCAATACCCTAGAACGTACTTTTGGAGTTCTGCATCTTTAGCAGAGATGAGGCCTTCAAAGTGTTGCCGCTGACGCCTCAACTCTTCCTCCAGGTGCATTCGCTCCCCAGCTGCCTTGGCCTCCTGCACCGCAGAAAGAGAGAGTAGGGCAGGACAGACAAAAGCGGGCGATGCAGCACAGGAAGCGGCTGAATCCAGCACAAAAGGCCGCTGCTGATGCTGCTGCTGTCCACTGGAACATATAACTTGCAAGGGAAACCAGAAGAGGGTACTCACCGCACAAATCACGAGCTCATGAAGATCTTGCAGCTCCTTCGCCACTGCTGCACTATGCTCCTGCTGTTGCTGAGTCGCTTGCTGTGCACTAGCTTGTGAAGAGCTCTCCTGCTGCTTGTCTTGCTGCTGCTGCTGCTGCTGCCGCAACTGTTGTTCTGCCTCTGCAAGGGCTGCTGAAGCCAGCCGTGACCGCATTTCCAGTTCCTCCTGCAGCACCGAGCAGCAGCACCACAGGCGCCCTGTGCAGTTCCAGCAACAGTAACAGCAGCAACAACAGTGGGCCTAACTGAATGCGACTTACATGCAACAGCGAGTTGTCGTGCTCGGCAGCCTCCAGCTTCAGCCGCTGCTGCCTGTGTATTTGTTGCAGCTGCTGTAGCTCATCCTGCTTCGAAGCGAGGAGGAACTCGAGGCGCTGCTGCTGCTGCTGTTGTAGCTGCTGCCGTTCTTGTTGCTCCTTTAACCGCTGCATAGCGCAACCAGCAACATACACAAGGAATAGTCATTTGGAAACAACAAGAAAGAGTAAAAGACGGCAACAGGAAGGCGAAACACCCAACAAACTAAGACAGACCAGCTCCCCTCCCCAGCTCCCCTCCTTGCCTGCGTCAGTTGCATATTTTCTGCTTCGTAACTCCGCTGAATCTTCTCCAAACTCGCGGCCTCATGCTGCAGAGCCAGCACTTGCTGTAGCAACTCCTGCTTGCTGCTGCTGCTACTACTGCTGCTGCTACTGCTGCTGGATTCGGCCGACCGCCCCCGGTGTTCGCGTTTCTCGACGCCTGTTCGAAATGAGACACACGTCCGAACGTCCAGATGTGCTGCTGCAGCACTGAAAACCAGCAGATGCATGCAACGGAAACAGCAGCAGACGTATGCAACAAAAAAAGCAGCGGCAAAGTTCCTCCAATACCTGTTTCGAGGTGCGCTTGGCCCTGGAGCTTTTCTTGAAGCTGCGCCTTTTCGTTCCGAAGTTCCAAAAGCTGTTGTTGCTGACGCTGGAGCACCTCCTCCTGCTGCTCCAGAAGCTGCTGCTGCTGCTGCATTTGCTGCACGAGTTGAAGTTGCTGCTTCTTGTAGCTTTCCAGCTTTCGCCTAATGAATGTTGGTGGTTCAGCGCAAGGGCTGTCGTGTTCCGGCGTTTCGGTGCAGCTGCCGCTGCTGCTGATGCTGCTGCAGCTCCTACGGCTGCTGGGGTGCCCGCTGCTATGCTGCTTTTGCTGCATCCTCGCAACCATCCTCAGCTCCCTATGGAGCAGCACTTTCCGCTCTCTCTGAATAAGCACTTGCTGCTGCTCCTGTTGCAGCTCTTGCTGCCGTTGTAACAGCGCTTGCTGCTCCTGCTGCTGTTGCAACTGTTGCTGCAGCATCCGGAAGTGCTCTTGCTGCTGCTCAGCAACCCCCTGCAGCTGCATGCGCTCTCTGGATAAGTGCTCCTGCTGCTGGGTAAGCTCTGCGTCGAGCTGTTGCAGCTTCCCGCGCTGCTCCTCTAGCTGCTGCTTCTCTTGTTGCAGCTGCTCACGCTCTTGCTGCAGGCCCCGTTGTTGCTGCTGTTCCCTTAGGAGAGACTGTAGTCTCTCTTCTAGCTTGTGTATCTCGTCTTCGTGCCGCTGCTGCTGCTGCTGCAGTTGCTGCTGCGTTTCCTGCAGCTGATGCTCCCTTTGCTGCTGCTCTTGCTGTTGCTTTTGCAGCTGATCCCGCTGTTTGTTAAGCTCCTCCTGTTGCTGCTGCAGCTGCTGCTGCCGCAGCTGCTGCTCCCTTTGCTGCTGTTGCAGCTGCTGCTCTTGCAGCGAATCCTGTGAACGCTGTTGGGTTCCCCGAACCTGTTGCAATCCTTCGTCATCGACCAACTCCGCAATATCCTTATCGTCGCTGGAATATCTCTGTCGCTGCAGCAGCAGCTGCTGCTGCTGCTTGAGCTGTTTCTCCCTTAGCTGAAGCTCGCGCTCTTTAGCGTCAAGGGCCTGCTGTCGCTGCAGCTGTTCTTGCTGCTGCTGGTCGAGAAGGCGTTCCTTCTGCTGCACCAGACGACTGCGAAGCTCAGCTTCCATACGGCTTGCATGCGATTGTTGTTGCGGCTGCTGCATTTGTGATTGTTGTTGCTGCTGCTGTTGCTGCTGGAGTTGGTGCTGCAACAGTTGCTGCTGCTCCTGCTCCTGCTCCAACTGCTGCTTGAGAGCGTGTACTTGGGCAGCATAGCTCTCTTGCGTCTCTACTAACTGTTGCAGCTCATCGAGCTGTTGCTGTTGCGCCGATATCTGCTCCCTCTGGTCTTCTATTAGCGTTTGTTGTGCCTCAATCAGCTGATGCTGCTGATCAAGCTGCTGCTGCTGCTGCTCAACCTGCTGCTTCAACTCCTCGATTTGCTGTTCCTGTTCCTCAACCTGCTGCTGTAGCTGTGTCTGCTTCTCCGCAGCCTGCTCCTGCTGTTCTGCAGCCTCTTGTTGCAACGAAGTCAATTTCTGCTGCAGCTCGGCTTGTTGCTGCTGTCTCGTCTGCTGCAGCTCCGTCTTCTGTTGCTGCTGTCGCTCCTTCTCCTGCTCAAGCTGTTGCAGTTGATGTTGCAGTTGATGTTGCAGTTGCTGCTGCGCAGCTTCCGCCTTGTGGATGGCATTCTGAAGCACAGCATGGGCTCCATGCTGCTGTTCTTGCTGCTGTTTGGCCTCCGAAAGTTGCTGCCGCAGGCGCTGTTCCTCCTCTTCCTGCTGTTGCCGCTCTGTAGCAAAGACTCTTTCCCGCTCCTGCATGCAGCGCAGCAGCGCCTCCTTCTCTTGCTGCAGCGCGTCCAACTGCTCCTGCCACCGCTTCTGCTCCTGTTGCAGCAGGCTCTGTTGCTGCCGCAGCTCCATATGCAGAGCGTAGGCGTCATCCATATTAGCAAACTCTGAGTTCGGCTGACTGACACTTGTTTCCAGTTCTAGCTGCTGCTGCCGCTGCTGTTCGAGTTTCTGGTTGTGCTCATGCTGAAGCGGGTTGCTGTTGCTGCTACTGCTGGCAGGTTGATTAGCTGTGAATGAAGCAAATGCCTGAGGAGAAGACCCTCGAAGTTTGCATCCCCACGAGGCAGCCCCTGGCAGGTCTATTTCGGCTGCTGTTGTGCTGCCATCGTGTGCTGCAGCAGCTAGTGCACGTACACTAGCCTCAACGGTTTCTGACGGCGGCGACGGTAGGCACATTCCGGGAGTGAAGGAGGGAAAGAACTCAGACATCTCATCACCGTCTCTCGATGATGCTGTAGCTGGAGCTGCTTCACTCGCAGAAGACGCATCAACTGCTGCAGCCCGCTCTTCCTCTTCTAAACATGAGGCCAGCATTGCATCAGTTGTCCCCTTAGAATGCCCCAGGCACATGCTGCTGCTGATGCTACTGGAGGCGCCCGAGTTGGCGGGCACGGCGTCGGCATTGCTATTGAGATCTTCGCTGCTACAGTCATCGCTACCAACCACAGAACCAGAAGAAGCAGCACGTCGCTCAGCAGAGCCCTTATTGGAGTCCTCCATCTCTTTGCTAGCCACAGCAGCAACGGGGGCAGCAGCAGCGGCTACCGCCGCTGCAGTCGCTCGCGCTGCGTTCCGCTGACGCTGAGGTGAAAGCTGTAGGAAATCCTGTCGTAATGCTCCTTAAAGGCAGAGTGATTGACAACAGAGATGCAGCAGATGCAGCAGTAGCTCGGTAAGAAGGCAGTCAAGGCTGCGAGCAAACAACAGCGGCTGTTGCACCGGGTGGATCATAGCATTCAGTAACTAAGCTTGAAAGGACTCGCTGCCGGTGCCTTTTATGGTGTTTTACCTCAGAGGAAGCGCATTAGGTCTCCTTTGGTGGGCCGGGTGGTGGGACGACGGGAAGGCGCGTATACGAGCCGATATTTTAGGGGGGGCCCCCTAGGGGCCTCGAGTGTCCATTAAGTTGTATAACTTTAAAAGACAGGAATTATTTGGGGACATTTTTAAGGCACTACACGCGTGCTCAACACAACGACCAGCCCCAGAGAGGCCCAGGTGGTGCCTGTGCATAGGGGCTGGGGGCTGTGCGGTCCCGCCTTGTCTGTCTTTGCTTCATCGTCTCCTGTAGTTGAATGATTTGTTTGTTTAAATCAACAAAACTATTAAAAGAACAAAAAACGAGAGAAAAACACACCAGGCAACGGCGATCTCAGAACACCCATGGGAGGGGCAGCGCAGCAGAAGTCCGCCGTCGTCGAGGCCCCTGTCTTAGGGGTCTCTTTTGAGTCCTCTTTAGCGGCTAATTATATGCACAACACACTGGAGTGCGTCTGTTGCAACGGATTAGCAAGAAATTGAGTGCGGCGTGACGTTCTTAAACGCTGAGGTGTATGTAAAACCCGAATTCGGGATGGGGTTTCTACAGATACTGCCGCCGTGGTTACGATGCGCTTGCTGCAAACGCCTCCGATCCACATGCTCGCCCTCAGCTGCTGCTGTTGGGGGACCACCGCAGCATCAGCCACAGCAGCTGCTGCAGACGGGGGAGGAGAGGGTCGGAGCTTGTGCAGCGTCTCCTCCCCCAGGTGACTCGTCTACCTTAAGCGGTAGTGCTACAAATCACTAGACGTGGAAAATGAACGGACGAGCAACAGCAACATCGTCCTCTTTCACCAGAAAGCAGCATGGTGCCTCACCTACTTTGGGCGTAGGGGAGGGCCCCCCCCCCCTCTCCACCAGACCCTCTCCACTGCAAATCGTTGCATGTGGCTGGAGTTACACACCCTAAAGTATTAGTTGAAGTGCCAGGTTAAGCTATCTCACATGAATATTGGGGGCCACTGGTCTTTGCTGTAACGGTTACCTTGCACAGCAACGAGCTGATACCCCATAGAAGCTGTAAAGAAACTGTACACTAAAATGAACCATGTATTAGTGCTGCAGCTACAAATTAGCGGTTATGGCTTATGGCTTTGCCTTCGACTCACGTTGGGGGGAGCCAGTTCTCCTTGGATTCGGCTGTTGAGTCATTGTTTGAGCCCTTAGCTCTTACCTGTACCACCGTCGGCGGCAGGCTACGCAGTGCAGCTCCAGTGAAGAAAGGGAACAGTGTTGATTCAGCAGGGATGGGAGAAAGGGGGTACACTCCATAGACAGGCAAAAGAGCACGGACACACAACGGCAGACACACACAGAAATAAGCAAGCAATGCATGCTCTCCTAGGCAGTAGACGAGACTGTGCTGCTCTGGGCAAACTAGAGAGCAGAGGCCTCCCTCTTGTTAACGATTAGGGGTTTAGTGGTTATTGGTGAGGGCTTCCAATGTGTAGTGAACGGGACTTTCCAAACGGCCGAAAGATGAAGAGCCATAGCTGAGGGCCATGTCCAGTCTGTGATGCAGTTAGGTTTTGTTGCGCGGCTGTGGTGCATGCAGAGACATTTGAAGTATACAGGGCCCAGAATGTCAACGAGATGGCATTTGGCGATCCCCAACAAAACCAAGATTCGGCGCACCAGCAGGGGATGCTAAGGGCAGGGGACAGAATGTCTCCTTTCGCGGTTGCCGTAATAACCTGCCCAGCGCCCCCCTATGAGATGCAACACCTGCAGCAGCCTGTGCAGCAACAACATGTGCACGGCCAACACTCACCGCTGCCACCTTCCCCAAAGCCGATGCAGCAGTTGCAGATCCCTTCCCAACAGGCTCCGTCTCAGCGCAACCTGCTGAGGGAAGAGGCGGGGGAGATGGGTAGCAAAGGGGCCCTAGAGAGTTTCAGCCCGACCTTTGCGACGGAGCTACTCGCGGACATTGAACTAGATGGAGAGGCAGGCACTCCAACTGCTGCCGCCGCTGCTGCTGTTGCTGCGTCAGCAGCAGGCGCCAGCTCACTGCCCCACATAGACGTCCCCGTGCAGCTGCCTAGTGCAGCTAAGACCTAAACAGGGTTCACAGGGGTTGCCCTTGCTGCAGCACCCGGCTTCAGAATTGGAACGAGTTACCTGTGAAACTGCTAACAGCCTTCAGTCGCCTGCAGCACCTGCCTGTGTTCCCTCCTGTATTCATAAAGGGAGTAGCAGCAGCAGCAACCGCAGCAGAAGCAGGAGACAGGCGTCCCCAGCGGTCCCCGCTCGTCCGCAGTAGAGGCACAATCGCGTCGCCTAAGCAGGGTAGCAATACAGGAGGAGACATGCAGCACCGACCTACCCGGCAGCAGCAAAACCAGCGAGCTGCAAATTCATTTTGATTTTCTTCAAACTGCAACTGCCTCAAGCGATGCACCCCAAATGCACACGCCCGCCTCCAGACACCTATGCAGGAGCACCACCTTTCATATAGATAGATGTATACTTCTAGATGTTCATAACTTGAAGAGTACATCTATATAACAGCACTATAAGAGCCACATCGTCTTCCGATAGTATCAAAACAAAATGTAACATAAGACGCCAAAAGAGGAGAAAACGCAACAAAAAGAGGGACCATGTGAAGCAAACAGGCAACGAGGACGGAAGGCAGCTGCACAGCAACAAGAAAACCAAAGCCTATAAGCAGCGAGCGTCATTCGCCTACAGACCACCGCCCTTGTATTCTCTCTTTGACGAGGCACATCTTCTCTACGTCTATCGCCTGTTGGCCCTGGGTGGCACCTTGCTTATCTTCCTCCGTGTCCTTTGTGTCCATTTCTGGCAAATGGGTAGAGGTGTTTGTTTTTATACGTACTCGGATCTACAGCTTCAAGAGAGCATAAAAATACGCTTCAAACAGTTTTAAAGAAAAAGCCCACGGTACAAACAGTGCGAAGACAACTGAGGGGAGAAGAAGCCCTCCCCAGCACCCACAAACGGCCCCCCATCCTTCCCCCCTCCAAATACAAAAAACAAAGGCGCTCTGGCTCAGAGGGTGCGTACGAACAAAGAGATAACCCCCTAAAATATCGACTACATTTCTTCCTGTCGCTGCAGTTGTTGCAACTGGTGCGGCTGTTGCTGCTGTTCTGGATGGTGACAATTGGCCGCTCGCTGTTGAGGTTTCTGCCCCTTTTCCCCCCGGCCTTCCTGCTGCTGCTGCTCCAGTTGCAGCTGCTGCTGCTGTTGATGCTCTTCTTCAGGCGCAGGGGGCTTAGGCGGGGGGGTAAGCAATATGCGTATGAGGACTTCTAAGCTACAGAGATCTGGGGCCAGGAGCGCGTCTCCGGTGCAACCAGGCATCCTCGCTGTCAGAACTTTCCTGAGGAAACAAAAAAATAGAGCACACCGCAGACAGAGAGCTAGAGGGCAGTTCTGTTGACGCTGCTCTCGCTGCAGATGCTTCTACTCCCAGTTTTGCTAATTTAGCTGCTGGCTGCGTGGCAACGGCCGCGCCATTTGGCCATATGGCCCTGCTGCTGCTGCTCATGCAGCCGGTGGTGCTACTGGTGCCTGTATAGCTGCAGGTGCAGCTGCGATGCTTGGTGCTGTTACTGCTAAGGCTAACACTACTGGAGAGAGTCCCTGAAACGTGCCTATTGGGGCACACACCCGTTATATACGAGCCGGAAGACATGCGTGTTCGTGCCTTTCCTCCCACTGCTGTTGTTGTTGATGCTGCTGCTGTTTTGCTGCTGTGGGAAGTGCTCGTAGATCTCAAAGGCAACAACAGACGCATAAGGCGGCCAAACGCCACCATACACCTTCAGAGCAGCGAGGACAGCAATCAGGGTGACATCGTGAGTCATGTAAAGATGTAGGGCTGATTGCTCTGAGGAGCCTGCTGGTGCTGCCCTGCTGCTATTGCTTCCTTGCTGCTTCTGCCGCAGCTGTTGATTATTGCGGATAGGGGCAAGGATCTTCTCCGCGAGTTCTTGGAAAAGAGGGTGAGCTGCAGCAGCTGCAGCTGCAGCGTCCGCCCACCCAGTCCAGAAGTTTGTGATTTCGTCGTTGATTTGCTGCAGCTCAGGCACTAAGGCGAAGTTGTTTTGCTGCAGCAGGGGAGGTAGCAGGTTTCTCCTGCCGCTGCAGACGTAGGTGAGGGCGCAGTCCACGATAACCTCCGGCCACAGAGCGTCGAGCTCCTCCAACGACAGACGTAAGTGCTGCTGGAGTTCTTGTTTTGTCTTGTGGTGTTTGGCTGTGAGGGCAGCGAATTCGGGACTCGATTCAGCCTGTCTCCTCAGCTGAGAGACAGCTGGGGAGGCGTATCCTGACAGCAGTGGGTCAGAAGTGACCTCGTAGGTCTCGACCTGGATGCGATGAGGAGGCACCCCAGAGTTCTTGAAAAAAGCCTCCAGCAGAAAGGCCCCGCTCGCCAGAGTCCGGGATATATCTGTAGAACGCACAAACAAACGCCGACTCGGCGCAGCCCCAAACTCCTCCGCTGAAAACAGCTTATGCACCAACTGCTGCTGCTGCTGCTGCGCTTGTTGCTGCTGCTTGTGAGTTACAGAGGCCGGGGTCACGTAGGCCTGGTTAAATATGGCGCCGATGTGGAGCAGCTGCGCCTGTCCTTCATCTAAGAGACTGGAGGGAACACAACTGCCTCTAAAAAGACCCGTTTCCGTTGGGCTCGCCACATATTTCTTCAGCAGAGACGGAGTCGCCAGCTGACCCGACCCTAAGAATAACATACACCGGAAAGAGTAGAAGCAGCAGCAATACACTTTCACCCGGGACAGCCAGAGAAGGCTTGGAACGACTAGCAAAATCCGCCGCAACACTAACAGCAGAGGAAGCAGCAGCAGCTCTACAGCCAGTCCCAACGCACCGACTATCAACAGACGGAAACAACAACAGAATCAGCAGCCGCACCACCAGCAGCAGGAGAAACAGAAGCCTCGCATATAGAAAGCAACTAAGAATGGGCGACCACAAAGGCAGCAACAAAAACAGGAACAAAGAGAAGCAGCACCAGTTGCAGCACTGAGATCAACAGCAGCAGCTCACGGGAGTCGTTCATTCCTAGCTCCTCCTGGAAGGCGCATTCCCATGGAGGCCCCAACTCTGCTGCTGCTCCAGACAAAGCGTCTTGGGGGTTAATCAAGAGGCCGCTGCTGTTGCTGCTAGCGTCACTGGTGCCTCTGCTATCCTCGACTGAGACGTCTGAAGAGGGTGTTGGTCTGCTTTCTTCTGCAGCATCGGCAGCAGCGGCTGCTGCTGATGTAAGTGGGCTCCCTTCCTCTGCATGAGCTCCTTTTGAGGGACCACCATACTCTGTTGCTGCTGCTTCGCAGTCCGCGTTCCTGTGGTGCCCCACTGGAGGACATCGCTCAGCATCGCTTCTCAAGGCATCTTGATCTGGGGCGGGGCCAACATGGCGGTGTCCAGCGGCGCTGCCGGTGCTGCTGTTCGTGTCGCTGTTGCTGGTGTTGTTGTTGTTGTTGCTGCTGCTTTCTCGGCTGTTGCTCTTGTGCAGATCGGAGTCAGCAGCCCTGCCCCATTGCCAGCAATTCCGATCGTAAGGCGCCCTGGCACCGTGTCTCACCAGAGCATGCACCTGAACGGCAGCAGCAGCAGCAGATATCGTACCTGGAGCAGCACATACCAGCTGTTTTGAAACAGATGTGAAACAAAGATGAACAGCAGCAATACGACGGCAGCTGCAACGGGAGCTGAAGCGGAGAGTTCAAAATCCTGGAGTGACCAATGCACCAGAAGCAGCACTAGCAAGAAAAGCAGCTGCAATAACAACAGAAATGCGCGATATCAGCAGCAAGAGTGCTGTGTGTACCTGCTGGAGCTCCAAATTCAGTGCCTTAGCAGCTGCACTCAGAGGCGGCAGCGACCGTTTTTCTTGCACAGTCCATTCCTTTAAACAATACTCCGGGAATTCTGTTGCTGCTGATAATGATGCTACTGCTGCCTCCGAGACAGCAGCAGCTGCAGTGTCAGGACGGGAGCAGCTCACCAACAACACGGCCAGAAAAACACGACTGGGGAACCCCTTGAGGGCTGAAGAGATCCAGCAGCAGAAAGACATAGCGCCAGCCGCTGCTGCTTCTGTTGCGCGTGCAAAGGCTGATGCAAGGGTGGGGGTGTTGCCACTGGTCCTGCTGCTGGTCCTCCTGGTGGTGCTGCTACCACGAGGTGTGAAGATGGTTGTGCTGCTGCTGATGTTCCCGTTGCCGCTTGTGCGCAGCTCTTCCTTTAAACAAATCACTGCAGAAGTCGGTTGCCGGCAGACCACTTGCGGTGAAGGCTTCTGCAGGGCCAACGCCGCCGGAGCAGCCAAGGCCGCACCCGCACCGGCAGCCGCACCACGGGGTCACAGCTATAGAGGGAATAGGACGGTTTCCTGGGTCGTATGAGGCTCCTAAGGCCTCTGATGAAGAATTGCGACGCAGCAGCGGCAGGAGCTGTAGTACCTGTCAACGCAGAGTACAAGTCTCCGCTGCTGCCTGCAGCAAGACTATACTTCTGCGGCTGCTACCACGACAGCTCCGCAGGACGAAGGGGAGACAATACAAGAGAGCTTTTTGAGCGTCTGTTGTTTCGTATTCGGTCAGCTGGAATTAATGTCTGCAGGAGCCAACACGTCAAGGGGAGCACCGGGCAACGCAGGAGACCGTGCAGTAGGCACACCCGAGTACAAGAAGACAGTTTGACGGCGAGAAGGACCCACAAGTACAGGATTTTGAGTTGTGGGTGACTTAAAAACAATTTCTCTTCGTTCAAACGAGCACTTTAACCGGTCATAGGTGCAAGCCGCGAAAGCGCAGCGATACCAGCTGAGGAAGGAGGGCCCCAGCAGCCCCCCAGGCCAGTGAGCGGCAGCCAGCTGCAGGGTTGTCCACCCCTTCATGTCCCAAAAATACAAAACTACCTAGTTAGGATACATGAATACCCTCTACTCTTCTTCATTTTCTAAGAACCTCGAGTGTTGAGACTAAATTGCCCTAATAACAGCTGGGCCAAACACGTACAGGGCAAGATCGCCCCGAGATGAAACGCTAAACTGTACCACAGTCTGCGCGATGTTTGCAAGCAAGTCTGAAATTGGTGCACGAACCCTTAGTCAGCCCCAGGAGGCAGCAGGCAACCAAGTAGATATCTAACGTTTCTCTACAGTGTTTCTGAGTACAGCAACGAAGGCTTAATCGCGCTTGCATACGGGGCTGTCTTGCAGCATGAGTTGTACGAAGGTGTGCTGCAGTACATGGTTGGCCGCCTCCTCTCCTTAAGTTCAAGGGGTCTGGGCAGGTGTACCCATTTAGTACAGGCTGAGAGCAGATCCAGCACAGTCTGACCGACATCAGCAGGCCTATTTGGATTTGCCACGTGGATCCCTAGTCGGCCAGCGCACAAACAAAGTATTCATCACTTCTCTGCAGTGTTAGTGCATTCAGATAAGGTGGTGTGGCTGCTGTGGTAATGTGGAGCCCCATTGCAGCACAACCTGTAGCACGTTGTGTCCCAACTTAACCTACACAGCTCGAGACACTAGGGCTGCTTCACGGGCACCTGGAGATTGGGGGTGGAGGCCATACTTTTTATGGAGCTTGAGTATTTTGTCTTAATTGCAGCGAGCATTAGGCCTCGGCAAAGGTCTAGGGGACTCACTGCACTCGAGGACCCCGCAGATCGGTAAGGCAAGAAACGAGTTTCCCGATTCTATCCGGCCACCATCACGCTCTCTAGAGTCAAACATGTGTTTTAGAATTGTCACCAATGCCAATGCATTCACAAAAATGGGTTGGGTTTGGTTGCGAGTGGTGTCGTCTTGGAGTACAAGTTGCCCCAAGAGGTGCTGCAACTTGCAGACCGCCATGCCTCCTATCCAGCCCCCGATGTTGCGACATTCATCGACCTTAGCTCAATCTTAGCTGAGGCCCGTCACCGGATCAAATTTTCAAGATGATTGTTACTCAGTGAAGCTTAATTCCACTTCTTCCACAAGCTGTCAGGTACAGCAGCTCACAGGTCGGGGGCTAGCGCGCGTGCTTAAAGGGAGCGGCCTACCCCGAGTTGCAACGCGTCTGTTTGCAATTATTGCTGCAAGCAAAACCCACTTCCAGGCGCCCCATGCAGCACGCATTGGCCATTGTAAAAAAAATGCTAAACACTAACTTGATCCTTCACAACCCGCCTGCTGGCTAATAGGGGTGGCATAGTCTGTGCGATGTTGGAACTCTGTCTGCAGTGGGCGCATGTGCCCTTCCCCGGCCCTACACCACAAACGATACGCAATTAGAAGCTCTAAACAACTGTCCACACTGTCTGTCAATACAACCAAAACGGCTCGCCTGTGGTTGCATACGGGGCTTCCAGCTTTTGCTGCAACGTGCGTTGCAACTCATGGCAGGCAGCCTCCTCTCCCGCAGCTCAGGGCGCTTGAGCTCAGGGAGCCTAAAGACGGGCGAAGGGGATCAATTGCATTTAATGAACCCTTCTACTGAGTATTTTGGCTCTACTTCAGTTCACAATCGTCCTGAGGTAAGATCCTGGGCCACCGTCTCACGGCCAATTCAAACGGAACGTGCTAAACTAGCTCCTTTTCTGCCCCTTGCGCAGGACACTTAGAGACTGTACGTGTGCTCATCAATTTTGAAATAACCCTTCGAAAAGATTGTTTGATACCCGTGCAGCTCACAGCTGTCCTCTGCGAAGGTCGAGATCCCTCGGTCCAGGTGCCTCACGCCAAACCCGTGGAGAGTTGTAGAGACGTGAAGAACCCATATCATGCACACACTTATAGAAAAAATTGCCTCACACAATCCTACGGTCTGGAGTTATTTGCTCAGCTCAACCTCCGAAGGCAAACCCAATATCAAAAGGACTTTTCCACGAGAGTCAGTTCGTCCACCATTACACATTCCTTCCTAGCGGGGGTCTGCTTCAACCGATGCTCTGGTTCTCGCAAAATACATTTTCCAGAAGATAGGCAGGAAGCAGATGCTGCAGTTGTAAAAAACGAAATTGTGTTAGGGGCTCCGCTGCGGGCACGGGGCCCGGAGGCGATGGTGGTGGTATTGCTGCGGCAACCCCAAGAAGCTCTATAAACATCTGCTTTTCTGTTTTTCGCTAGGCGTTTAATACATTGGCACATAGAATCACGAGAGGGAAATGAAAAGACACTTGTTAGGTCTAGGCAGTCTGTAGCAGCTGCAGGAGGAACAAGTCAACAGAGGCAGTCGTTGTGGTGGTAACAGGTTGGTCTCATACTGTCTTTTGCTTCTCTTTTCTGCATGGATTTCATTTTCTGAACTGTCTTCTTTTCAAGGGAAGACAGCTGGACCCATAGTGAGAGGCCCCTCTTCCGCAGGCCTCCCGCTCTCCTTGACCTCCGAGGCTCCACTCCCCCTCTGCTGTAGGAGGGTTGTATCGCTTTGCTTTTCTTCTTTTGTCTAGACCTTCTGCATTTGTTAGCGTCTTTGAATTCCCAACGCGCCACAGGAACTGCTCAGGGGTGACCTGCTGCTTAGGAAGGCAGCCGGAGTCCCCCTTCTCCTCATGCGATTAGGGACCCGCAGTGTGCGCTTCGGGATCTCTTGGGCGCTCCAGGAGAAGCCACACCAACAGTAGCAGGACAGCAGAAACAGGGGGAGCAGCGGCGGCGGACCACTGGTCTGCCTGACTGCGAGACAAAGTCGCCATGTTCTCCCCTGAAGAAGCTCCGTAGCAACCGCTGGAGGCCTTTACAGCCTGCCGGTGCCCTGCGGGGTCTGGATTTTGTTTTTTTTATTGCTTCTCGCTGTCTCTTCACTTTTAGATGCGGAGTCCGCGGTTGTCGCAGGGGGCAGCTGAGGGGGCTCCCCGAGGCGTTGGGGTTTCCTCATCCTCCTGTCTACGGTTGTTTTCGTTTATAAGCAATTTTTTCGATGGGGAGTTGACGTTTGAGGAGGAACTGCTGCTGCAACAGCTAAGGAGGCTGGCCGCTACGCCTTATGATAGGAGCAACAGAAATCACGAACAGGTGCAGCCAGCTTAGTTCGTCCGTGCACCTCATTTTCTTCTGTGTCTTTGTAGATTTAAGTCTGTCGCTCTCTTATTTTCCACGTATGTTTGCCAATATTTCGCACGTGTTGTTTCTCAAGCTTGTTTTCTTTTCATTGCTGTGGATTGTGAATTTTCATCTCGTGCTGTTTCCCTCTTACACCCGACTTCCCTCATTTTTGTGATCGTTCATTGGATGGATGTGACTGATGCTTTGGAGCACATCCCCAGTAGACTGTTTGTTCTCTGCGTGTGAGTCGAGAAGTCCTGTAGGGCTGCCAGTCTCTGTTCATTTACCTCGCTAGCTTCCAGGGTCTTAAGCAGTGGTTCCCGCGTGTGCCTCTTTTCCGAGTGTCTCTGTAGCTTCTTCAGCGGTTTTTCGTTCTTTGTTTTCCCGAGGCCGCCGCGGAAGATGCCAGAGAAGAAGACCCTCGATGGAGAGAAGTTGGGTTTCAGGTAGGAGGGACTGTTGTTGCAGAATGGCGTCTTGCGTGCTATTGTCTGCCACCCTCTTTCGTGTGTTGTGTACTGCCTATTTCACTGTATGTATGTCCTCTAGAGTGTATGCTGCCGGTATGTCCTCTTGAGTGTTTATCGTTTCGGATTCTTTATCTTAATCTGCCTCCTCATGCGGCCTTTCCTTGTCTCCTCCGCTGTATGGCGTTGGCGATATCGTTGTGCGGTAATCAGTTGCCTTTTTCTCCTTGTGTGATGACGATCTTGTGCATATGGATATGTCACCAGCTTCTGTGTCTTTGATTGCGCCTTTCTTTCTTTATCTTTGGTCTTTGCTGGTGTCATTCCGGGGTTGTTGCTGTCTTCGTCTCTGCGTTTCGCTCTGTTCCGTTTCTTTGTCTACTAGTTTTTCTTTCAGTCGATGCATGTATCTTGCTTTCCTCTTGCTAGATGTTCGTTAGCCTTGTGTGTGTGTGTGCCTGTCTCCACCTCAGAGTGCAGACCCTCGGCGGGATTTCCGAGGAGGCGGGCTGTTGGCCCTTGAAAATCTCTGTTTCTTCCGTCGACGTTATCCAATCCAGTTCGAAGCCTTCTCGCGAAAGAGCTATGAAGCGGGCTTCCCAATGGCGGCTGCTTTCATCAATGTGACGGTTAGCCTTCCTCATAGCTCCACTGCTGCTGATGCTGCTGCACGTGCAGCGACCGCTGTACGCACTGCTGCTCTTGGACCTCGTGCTGCTGCTGCAGTGGACCGTTCGCCCCTTTAAGCTAAACAGTAGCAGTGGAGCCCATTGTAGCTGTTGTTGCTGCTCCTGCTGTTGCTGCTGTGTGCAGCATATGCTAGCAGCGTATCTCCGCCTAACAACACCGTCAGGTTTGGGGGGTGGCGAGCTGCAAGCCCCCCGTCGTGCGCTGCGCAACTTTCTTCGTCTTTGTCTGAGCGCTGCTGCGGCTGAGGAAGAGACAGAAGAAAATTTCCTTCCAGGTGCGGGTCCCTTCGGCGAGGGGCAATTGCAGCATGCGTGTGCAACTGCTGCGGTAGCAGTGACGGAGGCAGCTCGTACCGGCATCTACTCATACACAGGCATGGGGATTTGGGGTATCTCGGTAACCGTTCGGACGTGGCTTGTTGTGATGCCTACTGTACAGAGACCACTGCTCTGAGGACACCCGGCCCACTGCCCAGTAGGTCTACTGAGGTCCTGCGCCCTCCCTCCTGCTCATCTTTGCCGCCCGGGCGGCGTTTGCGGCGTAGAGCTTCGGACTCAAAACAACATGCGGCACCTGCCGAAGTGGGGCGAGTGACGGAGAAGCGTGCATTGACAGTTTTCGGGCACCTGTTTGCATCTGCATGCATCCGTTTAGACCATGAGCTCGCTTTAAGAGGGGCTTGGCAGCACGAGGGGACAGACCCCCCGTTGCAGTCCCCGCGCCACACACCCATGCACTTAACCAACCACCGTAGGCTGCAGGTGTCCCTACAGAACTCGCGGGGCCTCTCCAGGGCCCTGCACCACCTCCACGGCGCCTCCAGCAGAGAGTCAGGGCTGGCGGGTGATAGGTCTGGCGGGTCGAATTGTGAGAGCCGGCAGTCGCAGGCATCGCGGGAGTCTGTTTTGACACCGGTGGAGGCGCACAGGGGGGCGACTAGCTCACCAGTCAGGTCGTTGCTTGCCCCGGAAGACACAGTCAGTTGTCCCACATCCGGAGTCGTCTCGGGGGGCACCACCCCGCGATCGACGGGGGGCCACAGCTGCCCGTGCCCCCAGCAGGGACCGCCTGGTTCTACAGAGAGCCCTCGGGACCCGCAACCGCAGCGGCCATGTGGGGAAGAGCCCTCCGACACCTTGCTGCACCGACGTGCGCAGCTGTGCTTTGGGGAGGCTCTGAAAGAGGTCAGGATTGCGGTGGATGCCGTGCTGTGTGACGGGGATGTGGAGACAGTCTCAGACCTGCATGCCATTTGCCGAGGCTGCTGGGCGTAGAAAACAAGCGTACACCACCCCAGTGCCTCTGCGATTCAGACCCTGCACAATCGCTGGGGCTGGCACAGTTCTCAGAGGTTAGGATATGGGAGTTGAGCTCTAGGCGCGTCGCCGATGGACTTTTGCTGGTCTCGAGGGCCTTCGGCGGGAGGGTAGCGAACTCCGCAGGGGCAGTTGACCCTAACGGCAGCAGGAATAGCACTGCCTTTATTTGTCTTGAGACTACGAAGTAAAGTTCTCGAACTTCCCCGCGAAGCCAGTACCAAGAAGGGAGAATCGCTGAGGGACCAGGCGAAGTAGAGTGGCATATTATTGCTTTTCTCTAGAGTTGATGTGCCATGGCACAGGATTGCTAGGCGATTCTTCACATTAAAGGTTATAGCAAATAATGCTTTGCGTGGACTCCCCCTCCTGACCTTCCAAGGTTCAGCGCAGGATATGTGGACATTATTCGATGCCCTTGTCCAGGAGGATGTCCACAGTATCGCATAGAGGGGCCTTAGACGCTTTTTTAACTTGCATTTGAGGGATTCTCTAGAGTAGACCTCGCTGCAGAGTTAGCTGCACTGCGAGGTGCGTGCATTGATGCTGCGTTGCAGCCAGACCTCCCACTAGACAATGGATTATAGGGAGCAGAGTAGCTTGACTGTTGACACAGGAGCCTCCAATCCGTGTTTGGCAGTACTCGGCAGGCCGAAAGCTACTTATCTTGACTCTGCATAATAGCCTCTGCACTATGGCAAAGTGGATGCACAGTTCAAGGTTTATACAAGAGATCTTCGCTCACCATTTTGGCATCGAGGCAACAGGTATGGTCAATTCGCGATGCATTTAACCGGACACCTGGCCCATTATGCAAGGGACCTGTGCATCGTCTTGACTTGTGATCTGAGCTGAATGTATGCCCCTTAACCGCCCTACATCTTGATCGGGAAGCCTTCATGTCGAGACACACGACAGGCATTTAATTATTCAAGGAGTTAGAGAGCTCGGACGTCGAGACGAATTTCAGGAGCATTTGGCGACTGCCTTAACATTAAACAGCTGTCCTCTTATATGAACCCCTAGATACAAACAAGTGCAGTGTCTAACTACTTCGTCATTAAAGTCACGTTGACCCATTTTAATTACGTTCACTTCCTACGGGGGTTCCCCTTCGTTGAGGGACGGCGGTAGCCCCCGATGTTCGCCAAATGAGCTCCCTTTCTCCTGTTGTCTGTCGGTTGAAAGTTGGGCCCTGAACGCTGACTTATAAAACTACTCTACCCCGTCTTCTCCGAAACGCTCCATGCTGCTGGTGACGCTGTTTCAGGCCAGCATGGGTGGGCGAGCCTAAACTGCTTGGCTTTTGTATTATGTACGGTCAACAAGACTCGATGATTTGTTCCTGGGTACACCTAATAAAACTGCAAGTGTGTTGGCAGATACTTGCTGATGCTTTCAGCAGATATAAACTGCTGTGCACAAGGAGTGGTTGGTCCATGTGCAGTATCTGCCGTTATGTGGTGGGGTGTACCTCACCGAAACAAAACCAAATTCGGTTTGGAGAAAAGTGACAGCCACATACTGCACTGTTAGCGTGTGTATGTGGAAGGGTCGTGGAGTGCAGACTGGCGAAGGCCGTTGGACAACGCAGGAGCCTGCGCAGTGTTCCCGGATGCTGTACTCCACAGTGCAGCCAATAACGCATGCACCCCCTCTTGTTGAGTCGCTGTCATTATTTCTACGAAGGTCTCAGTTAAACAGACGGAAACGCAGGGTGTAACCGAAGCTACACTGTTGCGACGGGAGGTACAAGAACTTTGCGCAGTTTAAACTATGCAGAGGGCCTTCGGTGGTTCCTACAAATGGCACTTTGGCAGTTCGTTGTTGTGCTGTCGTCTGCTTGCGCTTCTTCACTAACCCTGTTCTCCCTAATTGTTTCCACTCCTGCGGCATCGGCGGCGTTTGGCTCTGGATGAGAAGATGCGTCTTGAGGTCTTGTGGAGTCTAGAGACTCGTTCGTGGAATTTTGAGGAGCAGTGCGTCCCTGGTTTCTCTGGGGATGACTGGAAGGATTCTGACCAGCATTGAATGCGGAGCCTCGAGCACGCGTGCGTGGTTGCGACACTTGGCGAGGTCTCAGAAGCGTAGCACGAGCTTCCTCAATCCTGTGCTCAATCTGGGTCCTGTACCTATCCTGCAGGATCTGCACCAGTCGAAGGCGATCTTGGAGGTCCTCCCTAGCATTACTGCATTCCCGGCCATTCTCTGGATTAACGCAGAGACCTTGGCGGGATGCATTACGCCTGTTATTGAAGCCTCGGGCCCTGCCTCGGTGCTCCCTCAACATGTCAGCGACATGTTGAGTGGCATGCTGATTAAAGATGTCCAAGTAGAACCCCAAGTGCATATAATGAATCTCGTCCTCATTCAACCTCAGGGCTGCCGCCTGTGAAGTGACAAAGCCCTCATAGTTGGTCCAACGGCCTTCTCCCAAGTACCGTAGCATGGCTCTTCTGAGAAGCATTTCCATTGCAGAGATGCCATGCTGCTCTCTCGGTGCCCATGCAGCAGCCTCTTCCTCCGGGGCTTGAAGTCGGGGGTCGCAAGACCTCAGTGCCTCGTACAGATCCTCCAAGGCTGCCGGCACCCGTGAATTTTCTGCTAGAGCCGCTATTGTTCGAGGATCTGCATTGCTAGGGGCACTCCCTCCGTGTTGTTCCCGCGGAGTCCGATAGCTTAAAGTACTACTGTCCAGAAAAGGCAAACCTTCTAGACCTGAGGAGCAATACCCACACGAATACACACACGAACACTTCTGCTGCTAAGGCCACGCAGTATCGGTGTTGGATACTTGGCGGGGATACGTCTGAAGCAACAAGCTGCAACATAAGGAACCCTACAGTCGTCTATTGGAAAAACAACTGACCTGTTGCATTGTCACTTTCACGGGGGATGCCGGCGGATTGGCTGGGAGCTGCCGTTTCCTCCAAGTTGATAACTGGTCTCATTAAATTCTCATCATGATATTCCTGTGGGCGAAGTGCGCTGGTATTTACATGTGTCTCCTGCGCCTGGCTTTGTGTAGAAGGCTCCAGCTCTTCCTTTTCTTGATGGTTCTCCGGCAAGTTTTCACTCTGCTGTTGCTGCTGTTCGTCGTGCGGTTGTTGCCTACGTTGAGCCAATTGCCTTTCTTTGCGCTTGCGTTGTTCCTTCATTAAGAAGAGTTGGTGCCTCAACTTGCCGGACATGCGCCGCCACACAGCTCTTGCGTACTGCACACGCAGGAAAAACACCAATCACGAAATCATGAAGCACTACATATAATTTTTCACGTAATAGTTTTAGAAAAGTTGTGTTATAGCAGGGCATGTTTTGGTTGTCCCTTACTTCGACGTCATCACGGAAAATATGGAGAGGCACTCCGTTGGCGTTGCACGGGGCTCGAGAGAGTTGGGGTCCACCACGGTAACCATGCTGGGTTCCCATGCCTCTGGGAATCTGAGGGAAGTGTGGGGTGTGTCTGTCAGCCGCGCGACCGCCTTGCCCGGTGATATGAAGTGCGTCACGGTGAGGGTAGTGGTGCATGTTTCCTGGTGGGTGATAAGGGGAACCTCCATGACGTCTGCCGTTCTTGCCTGCAAAGTATCTGGGGTCTCCTTGTTGCTCGCGTCTGTCGAGCTCGGCCTGCAGCGCCTCTCGTTCCTCTTGTATTTTATCCCGCGCCTGCTCTAACTGCTGCTTGTGATAATCCTCCATTCCGTAAGGAATCCACAACCCAGTGCTGTCGTAGAATCCCATCGGCGTGGGATCAGGAACCCAAGCGGGAACAACGTGCCTGTGGTTACCGTTGACGTCGTTCGGGTTTCCACCGCTGCTAATGATGCTAGAGTGAAGTTGCTGCCGCCGCTGCAGCTTTCCGAGGTACCGATGTTGCTGCTCAAGGTATACAATGCGTTCCTGCACGAACCTGGGATGCTGCCACTTCCCTTGTTGGTGGTTGAGATACTCTTGCTGCTCTTGTAAGAATCTGAGTTGCTGCTCCAGGTATTGCTGCTGCTGCTGCAAATCTCTTTGCTCCCCATCGGAAACGCGTGGTCGCTGCCAGCGTCTGTGATTGTACGGGAGGCCCATGTTCCTCAGGCTTGGTCGTTCTAGGTGGGCTTGCTGCTGTTCCAGGTAAGCTTGTTCCTGTCGTAGATGTTGCCACTGTTGCTCCAAGTGTGCCTGCTGTTGCATCAGCTCCTCACGGATTGCCTCTTCGCCAGCGCCTGGCTTATTGGGGTGGCTCTTCTCTTCTCTGTCTTTGCCTTTCTCTTGCCTTTCTTTCTGCGCCCTCGAGGATTGCCTCTCACGGTAAGCCTGCCACTGCTCTTCCAGCTGAAAGTGCTGCTCCTCCAAGTACCTAGACTGCGCCAGCAAATATTGTTGCTGCCGCTGCAGGTTTGCGCGCTGTTGCGCGTAGGATTGATGTCCACCACGCTGCGGCTGCCATCCCTGCCTATATCGTTGTTCATGATGCTGCTCTCCATGTGTTCTGCCATTGTAGTTTTGCTGCTGATTATTCTGTTCCTCTGTTTGCTCTGTCTGCTGGCTCTGCTGGTTGACGCCAGCTTCCTTTGTCTCCTCAGGTTGCTGGTTTGGTTGTGCTTGCTGCTGTTCTTGCTGCTGCGGTCGATGCTGCTGGTTTGTTAGCATTGGCTGTTCTATCACCAACTGTATCTCGTCTGGAGACAAAGGGCGGGACTCCCCGTCTGGAACATCCGTGGGTCCAGAATTTCGAGCCTAGAAAAACAAGATCAAAACGCAGTACGAAATTTGGTGAATGGAACGGTCCTCTAAAACGTTTTAGGTAATCACCTATTTAAGGAATGAAAAGGCTAGCAAATATGCAAAATAACATTTAGCCAGCTTACGGAGTCGCGCTGTGGTGGAGGGGGTGGCGGGGGAAACATATATCCCGGTGTATTAGGCATGAAGTATCCATTTGGCTGACGCAGAAGTAAACAGAGGACAGACGCCAAGCATTTTAGAGCAAGAAGAAATCAGCTGCAGGTTAGGCATTTTTCAAGGGACGATTCTAGAAATCTTTATTCGAACTTACTAGATGGGACTGCTGGTAATAGCCGGAGGCAATAATTTTGCTCCAAACTCCTCGATTGTTTGCAATGTACGTGCGGTGACCGTGGATCAGGAACTGGGGAAGTTCTTGACGGGGTATGCCGCCGCAACGACCATAGTGTTGTAGATATTGTTGCCACAGCTGGTGGGAAATATAGTGAGGCTTGATATGTGACTGCAGGTATGACTGCTGCTGTAGCTGTAGTGCTTGTTGTAGCTGCAGTTGCGACTGTTCTTGCTGAGGCTGCTGTTGCGACTGGTGTTGCTGTTGCTCGTGAGGTTGCTCTTGTGCCTGGTGTTGCTGCTGGTGTTGTGGTTGTAAATGAGGCTGTTGCTGCATAGGCCACCATGCTGGCTGCTTTTCTTGTTGGAGTTGTAGTTGTGGCTGTTGCTGTGTGTACTGCCCGGAGAATTCCTGAGGATGCAATTGCTGAGGATGCAAAGGTACTTGTCTATCGACGATGTATGCTCCTCCCACACGTCTGGGTCCCCAGGTTCTTTGTTGTGTGCTGGCGTCAGGGTGGTTGTTGTAGGAGTGAGGCTTGATGGGGACAGCAGCCTCGTCTAGTGACGGCCTGCTGTCGTAGATACGGGCGCCACGTCCCCCGCGGCCTCCTATGTGATTTATCCTTCCCCGATGTTGATTGTATTGAGACTGGGCATCGTAATGAGTGGGTCTTGAGGAACTGCGAGGGTCCGCTTCCTGACCTCTTGGTATAGCCTCGATCATGTTATTTTCGCATGAGGACAACTGTTGAGCTTCCGCTTGAGATAAAGACACCAACGGCGCAGTGGAATGCCCGTCATATATGTCGGGGAGTTCTACTGGGGTCAGGTTCGTCTCTGACTCGGAAGTCGTGCCCCTAATCAGAGTATAGCCATTCCTTCTCTCTTCTGCTTCCACTACGGCATCCTGACCTGCGGATGTTTGCACAGCGGCACCCTCGGAAAGTCCTGCTGCTGCAGGGGTTGAATCCTGGCTATTTTCCTGTTGTTCAGGTGAAGCTTGTGTTGCTTGGGCCTGCATTGCTTCCGCTGCTGCACGGACCACATCCGCGGCGTTCCAGACTTGCTCGTGTGCCGAATTTATTCCCTCATTTGGAGTGGTCACAGCTGAGCAGCGCAAGACAGTACCGCATGGTTGTGGATGGTTCAAATTTAGCTCTGAAGAAAAATTGGGGTATGACTGGCTGGTTGAATCAATCCAAGCACTTCCTGATGTGGCCGTTTAAATATACTTTAGGGCTACACAGCATGCGGCCACTTTGCCAAACTATCTGTCTACCTTACCGCAAGAATGGCTGGGGGACGAAGGGGGGGCTGGACATTGAGGTGGAGTGTTGTTCTCCACGCCTTCAGGGTGTACAGGTCCGCAGGACACATATGCGGACGTGGCAAACAGGGCAAGAAGATGGATTAGGGCCACCTTGAAGGCGAACTGTACCCTGAGGACACAGAAACAGAAGAAAGAGTTTATTGTAAACCTGCTTTATGAACAGGCGCACCACCACCAAAATGCCTCTTATCGACTTGAAGTGCGCGGCCTGTGAGACCTTTCCAAGGTCCTGTGGAATTTTTCGCTTCCCTACTAAACTCCACTTTTTCCGACTGTTCCACACAATTATATCAAGTACGTTAGAATGAAGGGCAATTAATAAGAGCTCTTAGGCAGTGCCTGCAAGAAAGGTCTTGGTAGTTAGATAGCTGACGACAACACTGGAGGACCAGGTACCAGAGACTGCCCTTTCTTGTTTGGGCCACGCGGACACAAATAAAGCGCACATTATTTCTCAAAAATGATAGGAATGACTCTTAAAGCTTTGTATTTGTGGGCTGTTTCTTCTATAGAAGGGGTTGAGGCACTTACTGGGGGTTCGACAAACAAGAACGGCGTTTCATTTTCGCTAGGTGGTGTTCGACCGTGGTTGTAGAGTACAGCGCAGTAGTGTGTGTATAAGAAAGTAAAGAAGAGTTGAAAATGCTATTCAAATAATATTATACAATGCAAAAAAGATGTGTGTATTCTTCATGAGCGAGTTTCGGAATAAACTCAACTGAAAGGCAATCGAGTCCTCGATGCGCGCGGTCACCACCAACCGGCGGGGTGACCCCCAGTGGTCTAGCGAGCCATCGCGGCTTGCCAGCCACGGCAAGTAATCCTCTTTGTTGTATTTTTTCCACCTCTCTCCACTTTATTTAATTTTTGTCTACGAAATGAGTATAAAACTCCACAAATTGTTTGCGTATCTAAGGCCCGTTTGACTCCATCCAGAATTCGAGCACCCACTCCGTCCAGTTCTAGCGGTCACACTGGACAACACGCCTGTGTCTGGGACGGAAGCGATCAGCTTTTATCTCACTCTTACCCACCCATTTTGTTTTCCGATTGCGTCTAAATCTAATTTCTTTCCTTAGAAACCTCCTACTTAGAGCATACAGCGGCTGGCCCGCGCTGCGGAGTGCGCGAGTGCCCCTTGCAATGCCTGCTCGCAACCCGCTCAGGCACAAGGCACAAGCCCTTGCCAGCCGTTTGTGTCGAAATGTGTTGGGCTAAATTTGGTTTCTTGCACTGCATATATCCAAGTAATGTAATGATTCCACCACTATGGGGACGAGTTCAGGTAGGCATAAATGTAGGACGACTTGGAGTTCTTTTAGACTTGAGGGGATCGCGAAAACAGCTCCATAGCAAAGGAGTGTGGCAAGCAAGATCCGTAGAGCCAGATTTGCAGTGAAACACTTACAACTTGCATATGCCACGTGGAAAGGATGCAAACAGCTACTTACAGCTCATGTCTGCCTCCAGCCGGTTGCAAGCATAACAATGCTATGGCGAGTTCTATTGAATAATCAAACCAGTCAGGGCAAGCAAGTACATTCCTCTTAAAAGCGTTTTAGAGTCATTCTGTTTAGAGTCAAGCTGTTTTGAGCATAAACTGCGGTACGTACAGCGATGAAGATGCCGATCCCCCGCTCAAAGGAGTCGTGAGCGCGGACTACCAAACGTATGTGTACAGCTCTGTCAAGCATAATGGTAGGACAGTCGACATAAGTTGAAGTCTAAATAGGGGTACAAGGACAGAAAAAATAAAAGAGCCATCAACCGACTCGCTCTGTACAGGCTGCCACGCGGCGGTTCGACTTCTGGAGGCACTCTTCTACTACAGACAACGGTTGCAGTACGTAGTCTCCACCACTTTATCCACTCACTAAGCTTTAGCGAGGGAGTAAATTTTGCACTTTTTTTCAGCAAGGTTACAAACAGAAACCCCCAACAGAGAACCGACCACTCTGGGTTGGCTCTCCTTCGGGGGCTTTCTGCCCCCTCATGCGCTGGAGGGGACAGGGGGCGGAGGTTGTTTTATCGGTGGAAGGCAAGGTGCATGCAACGCACAGATTCCCACCCCTGAAGGAGACAGGGATTGGATGCCTCAGTGTAGCAGAGGGGGTTAAGAACCAGGTATACACATGATAGCCCTGCACAGGGGACAGTCGATCCACTGGGGAAAGAAACCTTTGGTAAAAGGGACACTGGCTCAAATGTAAAAAGATACAAACAAGTAAGGTGATGAATACAGCGGGTAACGATGGGGACACAAGGGAGAGTTGAAGGAGACACAAGGAGACCCCCGAAGGACAAAGGAGACTGTTGAGAACCGACAAAGGGACCGAGCGGGGACATAGAAGCCAAGACACAGGGAAGACGAAAAGCCAGCATGAGCAACAAAACAGGAGACAGAGGACATCTATTAAGAAGACAACAAGCAAGAGGAAACACAAGACGTAAACGGGAGGTGACGGGGATCGATGGGGGCGGAGCGTAACGGAGGACAGACAGAGGGACATCCTCACCCACTACCAAGGCCTTCTTCCCATGTCTAAAAGGGAATATGAGTCAATAAAAAGGGAAAAACCATGAAAGGGCAAGAAATTAAGGGCCTTAGGGAAGCGTGGGAGGGCCCTTGCCGGTTGGTGGGCCCCCGACATGGGGCCCACCAACCGACGGTCCACCACCCGGGGGCCCCACACGGTGGTGTTAAAGGTACAGTTGCTCTATACCTGAAAGGGGATATTTTATTTAAAAAAAAAATCTATTTAATGAGCTCGATGAGAAGGCCCTTGACACCCCAGTCTGTGTAATGCGTGATTGGGGACAGTTCATTGTGGCTGTCTCCTTCCTTCTATTCAGTGGCAAGCAGCGCCTACTAGCAGATACTGTGCCTTCGTGTAGTTGCATGCAATTACAACGGCTTACACTCTTCTTTAGGTCCCCAGGTGGCCAATAATAAACGAGCTTCTGTGTCAGCCAGGGGCCCCTCAATTTCCGCTTGGGGGCCCCCCTCTCCCTGTATCAGGGGCCCCCGCTCGATCTCTAGATGAAGCCACCAGCCATGAAACATCAAAATATCGTGAGCCGCTGCCTCACGAGCGCTGCAGTTGCGGCAACTGCAGCAGCTGCAGCAGCTGCAGCTGCTGCAGCAACTTCTGCTGCGGGATCGCATGCAATCGAGGCTGCAAAGGCCTCACACTGAATTCATAGACTCCTAGACTATTAACATGCAGGGGGCTCGTACGATCCCTGGAAGGGTACTTAGGGCCCCCCCTCTAAGGGCCCCTTGGGGGCCCCTGTTCCTGCTTCGTTCCCAAGAAGAGACTCTGAGAGCCACGAGGAGGCACATTTTATATTGTGTGTCTTCTTTTGTCTCCTTGAGGTGTATGCATGTCCCTTGTGCCTCTGCTGCTGTAAGGGCGAGGACACATTACGTCCTTAAGGATCCCTTGTCAGCCCCAAAGTCAGTTGCATGCGCATTTAGCACAAGCATGCATAGGATACAGGAGACAGCAGCATTAGAGGGCACGGAAGAGGAGACACTTCCTCCCCTAGACCTCACCGTTCTTAGACAGGACATTGAGGAGTATCTGATCCCCAGCAGCAGCAGCACCAACAGCAGCGGCAGCAATCACAAGAAACCAGCAGCCGAGCGCCTCCTTGAGTATTTGCCATTGTTGAGCTCTTCTAGACTACAGCAGCTTCCTGCTGCTGACCTGCTGCTGCTGCTGCGCGTGTATAGTCGGCTCCTACCTGCTGTTCCCCCATCTACACCGGCTGCTGCAGCTGCTTCTGCTGCAGCTGCAGCACTAGAGGGAAAAGCCATAAGCAGCACCAGCAGCAGCAGCAGCAGCAGCAGCAGCACGCCTACAACATCAGATAACAGAGGTGCCATCTGTCTCCTTCTTAGAAGGGGACTCGTTGCTATCATGAAACGCCCCCTTGACTTCATGCTGCCTTCACAGCTACCTTGTAAGGCACTGCTGCATCTGCTGCATCTGCTGCTGCTGCTTCTGGTGCTTCTGCTGCTTCAGCCCCTTTCGTGCTGCTGTTGCTGTTGTCGTGAGATATACCCAGTGCTGCTCATGTTGTCTGTTTTCTTCTTTTGTTGTAGCCTGGGGTGTATGTACACCTGGAGTATTATAAAGAATGAGTAGTTGGTAGACACTACAGCAGGAATATCTATGCTGCTGCTGCTGCTGCTGCTGGCTTCCCTGTCTCCACAGGTCTCGTGGCTGTCTCCGCTTGCTTGCCCCCCTCGGCTGTCCCCTTTCATTTTTGGCGGTGTCTCCTTAGAAGGAGCGCGGACGTTGCTCGTCTGCTGTCTCCTTCTGATGCTGCACGGCTACTACTGGGCATTGCCTGTCTGCCCCAGCTTCAAGGTACTACTACCACCAACAACTGTCCCCTCTCGGAACCGTTGCTGCTGCTGTTGCTGTTGCTGTTGCTGCTGCTCTTGCTGTTGCTGCTGCTGCTGCTGCAGTTGCTTGTGATTCCTGCTCTTGAAGAACAGCTGTTCGTCCGACTCCTGTTTTTCCTGTCTCCTAATGCTGCAGAGGATGATGAGGTTCGCCGTGCAGCTGCTGCCATTTGCTATAGGCTAACAGCAGCACCGGAGTGTCTGCAGCAGCAGCGGGAGTCTCTTTTGAATACAATGGAGGCCCTGCGGAGGCTGCAACTCTTGCATGTCCCCTTGTTGACAGATATAGGTAAGTAACTCTCCTACTCCCTTACACCGCCTTTCGAGTGTCTCCTGGTCCGCTTTTTGTGTCTCTTTGGCAGTACACCCTCATTGCATGCAACCTCTTGTCTCCGTCTCTTTTTTCTTCTGTGTTGACCTGCAGCTCGCGCGCTGCAGATGTCCCTTGGCACGGGGGCCCACAGTAAATCCCATAAGAAAGGCTCCTCACGTAAGAATATGAAGACTTCTTCAGGGAGGTCCTTGAAGGGCCTTGACTCTCCCTCGTTGCCTACTGATGGCCCTGAGGGTCTCCGCTGCTCGAGCCATCAAGGTCTACGAGGGACAGGAGACAAGACGCTGATGGTGGCAGCTCTTAGATGTTTTGCTGCTACGAAGGCGACAGACTTTCAGACACTATTCCGCGGCCTTGCAGACAACCTTGTGGAGGTATATTTGTCCCTCTTGCCTCCTGGCGTGTGCAGCAGGAGCTTTCGCTATCTGCTGCTCACCGGGTGGTGCATGCATTATTGCTCACGTATTGCAGTCAGCTCAGCTATGTAGCTTTGCACAACAGGCTAAGGGAACGGCGTGACCAATCTCCTCGTGTTGCAGCTGCAGCAGGATGCAGTCCTATCGCATGTCCCCTCTGACTGTGCAGGAGGTGGAGACACTCAACTTGAGGGAGACAGCCCAAGTGCTGTCTGCTTTAGGCGCTCTTAACTGTTACCCAGAGAAGCTCATCGCCAACCTACTCCCCCATGTAGCTGCCTTGTAAGAAGGGCACCTTTTGTACATTAATCAAGTTTAGCATCGAGGCATACAGCTCTAAATGCCTTTTTGCGTTGGGGGATGAGGAACGCGGCAACACGCAGAGGCCTGCCTGTTGTTCTCTTTGTGTTGACTGCAGGCTTGCAGCACAACAGGCCACCGTGTCAGGAGACCAAAGGGACCCAACGACAGCAGCAGCGAAAACTGCAACATCTCCTGCTGCTGCTGCTGCTGTTACAACAGATACGCTGCGTATCTTGCGGTCTTTGGGGCAGCTGCAGAAGCGCGACTCTGCTGTGCTGAGGGAGGTAGCGGCTGTCCTGACAAGTGCAGCTGAGATGAAGCGTCTCTCCGTACGTGTCTCCCTTTTACCGTATATCGAGGCTAATGGCTAGGTAGCCAGAACCGCAATTAGCTAGCTAGATAGCCAAATGTCTACTCAGCTAGGCCTTATGAGATGTTTCCCTTGGCGGCTGTGCGTATTGCTAGTGTATTGGCGGGTAGAGTGATGCCGCAACTCTGGTGCTGCTGCTGCATAGTCTTTCCTATGGGGAACCGAGTCGAGGGCATGCACGGGAAATGGAGACACGTGGGGGGACAATTTATTTTGTATTTACCTGTCCCTTTCTATTGTCTATCCGTACGTAGGTAAGAGAATGTGTGACCGCGCTCTACGATTGCTACCGCCTAGACCTATGGCACCCCCCCTTAGGGGAGAAACTACTCGGCTGTATCCGGGACCATAACAGCTCCAGTAAGACACCCTTCAACGAGTATTGCCGCCGCCGCAGCAGCAGCTGCTGCAGCAGCAGCTGCTGCTGCTTCTGTTTCTTCGAAACTCTCCTTCGTGGTGTTAGGGATCCAACACACTGCTGCCTGCTGTCTTTTTCTTTCGCCTGTGTAGTAAGGAGTAATTCCTGTTAGTTGTAGAGTCTCCTTTACTTATGCCTTTTTATTTCTTTATAATTAGTTATTCTTTTCTATTTATTTATCTTTTTTGTCTCTGCAGCCTTGTTGGAGGCCCTCGGGTTGCAAGGTGCAACGAATTTGTTGTTGGCCCTTAGCTATTTCAGACGTAACGAGCTCCCTATCTTTGATGCCCTTCTCTCCCAGGCAAGAACAGTTGCTGTTGCTGCTGCTTGTTAGGTCTGCTTTGCTGTTGCCTCCTCCTTTTTCTCTGCCCTCTTCTTTCTTATTACACCTTCACATCGGTACCCTATGGCAGGGGCCTCCAGGAGGGGACCTCAAGTCCTTTCCTGCCTATTGTTCGCGGCTGTGCATGCGTTGTGCTGCTGCTATAGATGCTACGATACGTCCACTGCCTCTCTACGCCAGGCATCTTTCAGCTGCAGACTGTTGAGCTCGCCTTCAGGTAGGATTTATTCAGCAGCTGCTTAGCCGCTTAACAGGACAGATCCAGCCCCCCCATAGCCCCAATCATTATAGGCTTGCTCCTGCATGCATCAACGTTTATTTGTTCGTGCTGCTTCCTGCATGCAGGGCTGGCCATATACCGTTTACGACTGAGTCCCTCAGCGGGGCAGCCAGAGATGTCCTCCATAAAGCTAGAGCCACGGAGACAGAACCAGAGGCACCATGTATCTCCTCCTTGCAGGAGACAGTGGCGAAGGCCGCCACCTTTCTGCAGTGTCATTACTACTCAGAGGCAAGTTCACCGTGGTAGTAGGGAGAGCCCAACAAACCATCATCAGCAGCAGCAACAACAACAACAGCAACAGCAACAGTCATGATTGGCACCACCAACAGCGAGGAATACCCTCTCCCTTAGCTGAGGGTTGTTCCTGACTTCTTCCTTCCTGTGCTGTCTCCCTTGAGGCTTGCCTTCCTAGTTCGCCTGCTGTCTCCGCAGGTGTCTCTTGGCCCCTACTCAGTTGACTTCGCACAGCCTCTAACTGGAGAGGATCTGCATGACCAGGGAGAGAAGAGACAAAGGGACCCCAAGGCCTCTCTTGTGGGAGAAGATGGCCGCTGGTCTCCATCAGGCATGTCCCAACCTATATTATGCACGTGCTGAGTCCGGCCTACTGGGCATGCTCTTCTTGATGCAGCAGCAATAATAGTGTTGCTGCAGCACTAGGAGCTGTGGCGTCTGTACTGCAGTGACGGGGGAAGACTCTGGGGAAGTGTTCTGTAGCCTTTTGCACTGCATGCTGCTTCTGGTGAGGACGCAGAGAAGTTGCTGTTGCTAATGCTGCTGCTGTTGCTGCTGTTGTTGCTGTTGTTGTGTCTTAGCTGCTGAGGAGCTAAGGGCAAAGGCCGTCGTCGTGGAGGTAGACGGCCCCCAGCACTTCTACAGAGACTCTCTGCACTGGTAAGGACGATGAGGACAGAGGCAGAGGGGCTAAAAACAGCACATGTAAGAGGAGACAGGGAGACAGAAGCAGCAAGTCAGCAAGAAGAAGTAGCAGGATACTAAGAGACACTTATACAGGAGCAAAAAAGGACAGATAAAGAGAGATGCAGATAAAGGAATTATTTGCATGCATTGTGTGTGTATTAATGGCAGGAATTCTTCCTCTAAGCTAAAACATCGAATCTTAACAAGACTGGGTAAGGTATTTGCTGCTTATTTATTCCTTGTAGCTGCTGCTGCTGCTGCTGTAGCTGCATGCAGCAGCTGTGCTGCAGGAGAGCCTCCTTATCATCTGCTGCTGCCTGCTGCTGCTGCTGCTGCTGCAGGCTACCGCGTTGCTCATATTCCTTACTACGAGGTGTTGCCTCTAAAGAAACTGAGAGATCTTCGCGCTTACGTTAGGTGCGTGCATGCACATTCACTAATGTGTCTCTTTTATTTCCCTTTATTCTCTGCTGCTTACACAAGAGAAAAGGAATAAATAGATAAATAAATAAATAAATAAATAAATAAATAAATGTTTGTCTCTCTCTCTCTCTGTCTCTGCAGCCGAGCTGTCGCGCATGCATTACACCCTGCAGCAGGATCGAGTATAGATCCCGATGTTTATATACACAGTATAGAGGGGGAGGGTTCCTTACAGGAAGGGGCCCCAGCCCTTAGCCATATACTTGCAGGAGAGGGGCCCCTTGGGCCCTGTATGCATGCACCTAGTGGGCCCTTGTCTAGTTACTCATCAGGAGTAGAGGAGGGAGAGGAGACACAAAAGGAGACACCACAACTAACAAGAGCACTAAGACAGCAAGCAACGAAGGCCCGACTAGGAGACAGGAAGAAGTCTCTTGCTATCTCTCTTATACAATGGAGGAGACAGAAGAAAAAAGAACAGAGAATGCATGCAAAGGAGCAACAAGAAAATAAAAGAGACAAAGGAGACAAAGGAGACACTTATGAGCACAGCAGCAGCAAGGCATATGCACACTAATATACCGTCTACTGAAGGAAGACACAGGAGGAGAGTCCCTGTATCCTGCTGCTGCTGCTGCTGCTGCTGCAGCAGCAGCATAGAAAAACAATCATAAGGATTTAATTATTTATTTTTTTTTGTTAATTATAAATAGTCTCCTTATTTACATAACTTAATAAATAAATAAATAATAATAGTATTATATTATTAGTAGTAAGAAAAAGAGACAAATATATTATAATACATCTCTTATCTATCTTATCTCCCTCTTCCCTCCCCTGTCTCCTTGCTGCTTATTGTTAAGAAAAAGGAGACACCTTGTATTGTTAAGAAAAAGGAGACACTTTGTCCTTATATAGGCAGCGTATATATAACAGCAGCAAATAGAGGAAGGAGACCTGCCTATACACCCCAACATAACTAAGGTGTTGTTAGTGCATGCATTTACTAGTGACTATTGTGGTTTATTTCTGCTTGCCTCCTTGCTGCTGCTGCTGCTGCTGTTGCTGCTGCTGCTGTCTTTTTGCTGTTAGGTTAGTGTTTACGTATCGTTGCCGTTAGACACAAAGGAGACAGGAAAAGACACGAGGAGACAGGAGACAGGGGAGGAGTAAAGGTGTCTCTATATAATAACTTTGTTTTTGCTGCAGCAGCAAGTTGCTGCTGCTGCTGCAGCAGCAGCAGCAGCAGCAAACTGCCTTTCTTACCTAAGTAGGCAACGAGACGGTCCTTACTACTCAACTAAGGGGGAGACAACTAAATAAAGGGGGTCCATCCCCCTAAACCCTAAACCCTAAACCCTAAACCCTAAATACTTAAGAGGTAGAAAAGGAGGGGAAAAAGGAAAAATTAATTAAGCAGCAGCAAACAGCAGCAAACAGCAGCAGACAGCAGCAGCAGCAGCAAGACGTTCTTCTTGTATGATGGTGTGCACAAATAGAATAATAAAGAAAAATAACAATAAATAAATAATAATTATTTATATTTATATTTATTTATTTATTTATTTATTTATATTTATATTATATCTTTATTCTTTTTTTTATAGATGTATCGGTGTGGTGTGGCAGGTAAGGAATGACCAGCAGCAGCAGCAGCAGCAGCAGCAGCAGCAGCAGCGACAAAACGGCAGCAGCGCTCTCTGTCGCTTGGCGCGCTGGAGCTGCTGCTGGTGTTGCTGCAGCAGCAGCAGCGGCAGCAGCTGGGGCTTTTGCTGCTTCTTGTCGTGGCTGCAGCAGCAAACAAGGGGAATATAATCATCTTCTTTGTTGCTTTATTTATTAATTAATTAATTAGGGATTAAGCAGTTTGCTGCTATAATAGGCAGCAGAAGAAGAGATTGGTGCTGCTTCCTGCTGCTACACAGCTGCTGCTGCCGCTGCAGCTACACCTGCTGCTGTTGCTGCTGCTGCAGTCGCAGTTGCTGCTGCTGCTGCTGCTGCTGCTGCAGCTGCTGCAGCTGGTGGAGAGGAGCCTCCTCTCTCTCTCTCTTTCCCCGTACAATAAGAGGGCCCCTTACCTGTTTTCTTTTTTCTGTTTTTTTGCATTGGGTATATAAAATACCCTTTGCCTTTTGCATCGTTTTACGTTATTCCTCTTTTTTTCTTACTTTAAGAGGGCCCCCAGAAGACCACTGCAGCAGCAGCAGCAGCAGCAGCAGCAGCAGCAGTAGTAGCAGCCGCAGCCGCAGCAGCAGCAGCAGAAGCAGCGGGACTCCTCCCCTCCTACTACTTTTCTACTCCTAATACTTTTACTTATACTAATTCTTACTACTCCGCAAGTTGCCTTGCTTCCGCGCTGCAGCGCAGCAGCAGCAGCAGCAGCAGCAGCAGCAGCAGCAGCAGCACAGCCACACGCGGCGCTGTCTTTTGTTTTTCGCAGTTTTCCTTTCTTTTCTTTTTCTTCCCCCTAAGGGCTCAGCAGCAGCAGCAGCAGCAGCAGCAGCAACAGCAGCAGCAGCTGCCACCGCCGCTATCAGAGACGCACAGACAGGGAGGCAGGCAGGCCGAAGACGCCCAACGGGAATCGCAGCAGCACCTGCAGCAGCAGCAACAGCAGCAACTGCAGCAGCAGCAGCACAGAAGGGGCACGATCAGCCACAGCCGTCGCAGTAGCAGCAGCAGCAGCAGCAGCAGCTGGTGCAGGGGCCCCCCTACTTTTATTTTTTCTCTCTGGCTTGCCAATACAAGCGCGAGGCAGGAAAGACACCGAGAGAGGGGCCCCCCTATCTATAAAAGACCTTCTCTCTCTTCCTGCTGCTGCTGCTGTTGCTGCAGCAGCAGCTGCTGCCGTCCAAGATAATTATATAAGACGTCATCATGTTAGTAAGAGGACGAGGACCGCAGCAGCTGCTGGAGAGCGGCAGCAAGCAGCAGGGGGGGGCCCCTATAACATCTCTGTTACAAAGGGCCCCCCAGGGTTTTAGGGTACCAACAGCAGCAGAAGGGGGCCCCCAGGGGCCCCTAGCAGCAACTTGCGGCCTATCGCAGCCGCTAGGTACAGAGGGTACTGTACCCATTGAGCTGCTGCGGTGTAGGGCAACAACGCGGCTGCTGGAGCTGCTGCAGCAGAAGCAGAGTGCTGCTGCTCCTCCTCCTATAGACAGGTTTAGCTGCAGCACAGCTACAGATAGCAGCAGCAACAGCAGCAACAGCAGCAACAGCAGCAGGAGTGCGCATGCAACCGACAGCTACGGCTCCTCCTCCTCTGTTTGCTCACAAGCTTCCGAGGATGAACCCACACAACCGCTTTCTTTTCGCATGCAGCAGCAGCAGCAGCAGCAAAAGCAGCAGCAGCAGCAAAAGCTGCAGCAGAAGCAGCAACGACACCAGCAGCAGCTTCAGTGGAAGCCTATTATGCAGCTGCAGAAGCAGCAGCAACAGCAGCAGCAGCATCAAGCCCAGCCACAGCAGAAGCAGCAGTGGCAGCAACAGCTGCAGCAGCTGCAGCAGCAGCAGCAGCAGCAGCAGCAACAGGCGCCTCAGAGACAGGTCCAGCGAACTGTGTGTCCGCAGTCAGGTCGCCAGCTCAGTGTCCCCACTGACCAGCAGCAGAAGCAGGAGCTGCAGCAGCAACAGCTGCAGCAGCAACAGCTGCAGCAACAGCGTTTGCAGCAACATCAGCAACAACGGCCGCAGCAACAGCGGCAGCAGCAGTGGCTGCAGCAGCAACAGGAGCAACAGCAGCAACAGCAGCGCCAAGAGCCGCATCAGCAGCAACAACGGCAGCGTATGCGGCAGCGACGCAAGCAGCAGCGGCAGCCGCCGCCTGCTCAGCAGCAGCAACAGCAGCAACAGCAGCTACAGCTGCAGCAGCAGCAGCAGCAGCAACAGCAACAGTCGTTGCTGCAGCATCTGCCACAGCTTTTACCGCAGCACGTGCAGCGGCCCACTTACCAGCACCAGCAGCAGCAGCTGCAGCTGCAGCGACAGCAATCGCAGCAGCAGCAGCAGCAGCAGCAGCAGCAGCAGCAGGCACGCAGCGAGCTGCTACGGCTCCTGGATGCAGGCGTTTGTTTTAAAGGGTCCAACGCCACAAGGGGTCTCCCTAGCAGCAGCAGCAGCAACAGCAGCAACAGCAGCAACAGCAGCAACAGCAGCATAAGGGGGACAGAGAGGGCAGCGGTTGCTGCTCCCTCTATGTCCATGAGACCAGCAGCAGTACCAGCAGCAGTAACTCCTGTAGCTCCTGCTGCTGCTGCTGCTGCTGCTCTTCCTGCTCCTTGTCCTGCTGCTGCAACAGGAGCAGCAGCAGGAGCAGCAGCAGGAGAACAGAGGCAGCGACCCAATGAGGTGTCTCCTGGTGCATTTGCTGCTTCCCTCTTTATGCGGATCCCTGATGCATCAGCGATCCCCTTACCTGTCTCCCTTTTGTCTTAGGGAAGGAGACAATAAAAGGAGACAGTTAATAAGGAGGAGGGGAGACAGCAAAGGGGGACAGCAGCAAGAAGAAAAGGAGACACTAAAAAAAAAAAGAATAAAGGAGACACTTTATTTAATTATTTAACGGGGGGGAGGCCCTCGTGCTGTATGCATGCATGCAATTGTCTCTTCTATGGGGCCCGTATGTAGGCCCCTAGGCAGCCCGCAACAACAGCAGCAGCAGCAGCAGTGGCAGCAGCAGCAGCAGCGGCAACAGCAGCATTAGCTGTTCTTGCTGCTGCTGCTGCTGCTGCTGTTTCTGTTGCTGTTGCTGTTGTTGTACGGCGCCAGCTGCTTCTATTAGTGACGGAGTAGCTAGAGGTGCAGCAGCAGCAGCAAGTGCTGCTGCTGCTGCTGCACCCTAAGAGGAGACACCTCGTTTATCTGGAGGGACATGAACATACATGCGGCTTTTTTTTTTGTCGCATCTTGCAGCAGCAGCAGCAGCAGCAGCAGCAGCAGCAACAGCAGCAGCAGCTGCTTCTGCTGCAGCAGCAGCAATAGCTGCAGCGGCAGCAGCAGCAGCAGCAGCAATTTGGCGTCAAGGGAAGACACACAGCAGCAACACCCCCTGCAGCAAAAAAAAAGGTCATATAGACCCTGTAGGGTACTAGGGGCCCCCTGAGGGGCCCCCCATTTTTTGTGCTACAGCTGAGAGGAGATACCTCTATAGTCTAAAGGGACTTGAGGGGGTGCAGCAGCTGCAGCTGCAGTTTAAATAGCAGCAGCAGCAGCAGCAGCAGCAGTAGCTGCAGTTGGTACAGCAGCAGCAGCAGCAGCTGTTCTCCTGCTGCTGCTGCTGCAGCCACAGCAGCAGCAAGAAGATCTGCTGCTAGCGGGGATTGTCTCCCCGCGGGTCCCTGTTTTATGGGGGCATCTCGTCGCAGCAGCAGCAGCAGCAGCAGCAGCAGGAGTACAAGCAATAACAGCAGCAGAGCAGCAGCATTGGCATCCTCTGTTGCTGCTGCTCCTGCTCCTGCTGCTGCTGCTGCTGCGCCTTGCGCAGTTGAGGCCTTTATTGCCTCTACCTCAGCTGTTTTGCGGTGTATAGGCAGCTCTATTTGCTGCTAATGGTTTGTACACTTTGGTGTGGGGAGGGCCCGCATGGCCCCACACTTTTGCTGCCGCTGCTGCTGCTGCAGCAGCAGCAGCAACAGCAGCAGCAGCTGATGCAGCAGCAGCAGCAATAATAATAATATAATAATAATAATTGGCATTATTTATTTAATGAAGGGAAGGAGACAACAGGAGATAGGAAAGGAGACAAAGAGAGACAGGAAAAAGGAGACACTTATTTCTTTTTTTTTTTTTGTCTATTCTCTTTTATATCTCCTTGTGTCTCCTGTGTTTAATTAAGCCCGGAAGCAGGAACTGCTGCTGCTGCTGCTGTTGCTGCTGCTGCTGCTATTGCAGCAGCAGCAGCAGCAGCGGACACGCAGCGTGGGCATTGACTACTGCTTGGTTTGGTTGTATGAATAGAGGAGGAGACAGTGTCTCCTTTTATAAGAAAAAAAAGGAGACACTTTATTAAGGAGGAGACAACTAATTAAATAAATAATAAATAATAATTATTAATTAAGGAAAAAAGGAGACAGTTGATGGTCCTAGGGAGGACGATGGATAGGGAGGAGGAGACTAATAT